GCGCGGAATTTTAAAAAAGTAACCTATAATATGCCTATCCATGTCGGCTACCATCCAATGAAAGTCCGGTCGGAATCGATCCAGCTGTTTCGAAAATTACCTGGATCAAACGCTGCTTGCGGACAGACAGGCAGACAATTTTTTTTAAATGCGATTTTCGTTACCTGCAACGCAAATACATCATCTTTCGGAAATCTGGAATTTTCTTTTGATACTTCAAACAGACACTCCAATTTTATTATATGTATAGATTTTAACATGAATTCTTCCTATTTGAACATCGTTAATTATGTATTTAATTTATATAAAAAAAAACACAGACGAATTGAGTACCTCCTTTTTTTGGGAAGTCGGTTAAAATTAAATTATCTTTGTAAAGAGGTAAGTCGGCTTAATATAGTAAGTTTTCAGTTAAGTGGTACGCATGATCTAGTAACTGGATGTAATGGTAGGCGGACGCCCACCAGACTGAGTAATCGAGACCCGCATGTCGACCTGGTTAATTACAAATACAATATGGTCCCTAACGCGACACTTTCGCGTCACACGGCCTCATGAGAGTGAAAGTCGAGCTTATATCACCCACCGATTTCTGCTCTCCTGGTACATTAGGAAACGTTTAGAGAGATTTTTTTTTTCGTTTTAAAGGAGTGTTTATATCGTTGACTTGATGTGGGCACTGCCGAGGTCAACATATTTGAGAAAAAAATATTTTTTTAATAAAAAAAAGTGGTGTCAGCAATATTTATTTTTTGGTGAAATTATTTTTTTTTTGGGAATGCACCTTTATGAGCAATAATCCATACTTGTACTAATTTAATTTTACTTTGTGTTGTATGGGAAGTGAATTACAAACGTATTTATACTAAAACTAGCTGTTGCTCGCGACTTCGCCCGCGTTAAATTAAAAAAAGAATATAAAAAATATAGCCATGTTACTCATATAAATATACCTTTCTAACAGTGAAAAAATTTAAAAATTGCCCCAGTAGTTTTAGAGTTATTTCAATATTCCAAAAATACAAATCTTTCCATATTATTAGTATAAATAACATGAAATAAATAGTTATAAGAGTTAAAATTCAGATCGAGTGTAACATTGCGTGTGCTGAATCAGTTCGGATAGCATTGGCTGACACGTGCCTTTCGATTCGTCGTGTTTGTAACAGCAAAAAGTAACGTTTCCATTAACAGATAACATCCATCCAAATAACATTAAAGTCATCGATCGTAAAGATTAAGTTCAACTAAGTATAGTGCAGAGGTTTTTTTTATAATATAAGGTGGCAAACAAGCAAGCGGCCACTTGAATCCTCCCAAATGGAAAGCGACCGCTGCCCTTAAACATCCGCAATTGCAGATTCGTTGCCTACCCTTAATTGACGTAAGAGAGACGCACATAAAGAGGACATTTCCACTTCCTATGCGTCTCCTCCACCGTCAAGTCCACTTTCAGGCACACTTCGATCTCCGAGGGTAGACCGATTTTGACTTGTCTCGTTGCGAAAAGCAAGGCAATTTTTTTCTAAATAGAACACCGTGGATTTCCCCGACTAAACATAAGCCAAAGTCCAAATTAAACTGTATCTTAGTCCAAGTGTGATTTATGATGTAACAGTAATTATGTGTGTTGCCTCACGTGCTTAGGAACATATGGCACGTGAGGTGCAATGGGAGGGGAGAGGGGGGTACAAACTCGTAAACAACATGAAAGCATTTGGACGGAAGCCGAATTAGCCCACGTGATACTATTTCTATGCGAATCTGGAAGTGCTGGGGATAAGTCTATTTATTTGAAGATCTATGTTTTAGTAATGTTAGATTTTGTCTACATCTCAATACTAACGCAATGTACATTAGAAATTGAAGTACTTGTTGTTTTTTTTTTTTATCTTCCTTTTTAGTTTATTAGTTTTTTAAAACGATTTAATTAGATTTTTGTTATGTCTAAATTCGTGTAAAGAGCTGGCAATTGTTTATGCATTTTGATTGTTCTGTCTATATTTTATACTGTCTATACAGCCGTAATGTCGAAAGTCAATGTTTTGTAACAATCAAAGGTACTTTGTATGAGATTGTGTCTTCTTTATTGAAATAAATTTATTTGAATACTCTGTGTTAATGTCGATGTAACTAATGGGATGTATTTCTCATTTTAATAGGATTACAATAAGTTTTGTTTATATTTACTGTTATTCAAGTCGTTATATTGACATTGTAGATACTAAATAACTATATACAACACTGGTTTTTGCCCGTGACTTCTTCCGGAATTAAAATCTAGTAAATGGTTGTGTTATTCAGCGATTATGTAGCTTTCTAATGGTGAAAGATTGTTTTTATTAGTGATGTACAAAAATCCATGTTTCCTCTAACTACACTAATATAAAAAAAGGAATGATTTGTATTTTTGTATGTATTGAAATAACTCAAAAACTACTGGGCTACTTTTTAAAAATTCTTTCACCGTTATACAGGTAATTTTTCTATGAGTAACGTAGTTTTTAATTTTGCCCGGGCGAAGTCCCAAGCGACAGCTAATATGTCTAAAATATTAGTAGAGAAATCATTAATAATCTCCTTCTTTTGGGAGTTGATTAAAACTAAAAAGAAAAAACATTATTTACTGGACTCGTGTCCACAATAGTATGTTATGTAACATTTTTTTAAATGATACACAATAGCTTCATCCTTATTCTCATTTAAAAACTGAGATAGTAATAAAAAGTAGCGTTTGTTTACAGTACTGTTCACCTAGTTTAGATATACCGTCGTGATATAAACATAGTGTATGTGCATCAATGCATCAGAATCATTCCATATTAAGTCTTAAGGTAACATGAAGAAAAGGATTGCAACCTGCGAATCTATAGATCTTATTCTCTTGTAATAAAGGTCAATTTCATACAGCATTCGTTACTTCTTAAGGCTTGTAACGTGTTACTGTCTATGGACTCTATGACGTATGCATTAAAGGTCGCTTTCGCCGAGCTGCGTTTATATTTTCAAGTTTGCAACGTGCTATTATTAATGGACTCTATGTAGTAAGTAATTAAGGTCAGGTTCACTTAGCAGCTTTTCACCTTGGCTCACTTAACGATAACTCAGTTTAGTTTGTAACCGTGCTAAGTAAATGGCCACGTTGTAACGTTTTACTTGAATAGATGAGGTTTATAAACATTTTAAATTACTTTTTTTCTTATAATTCAATTGTTGTTTTCTGTTTTTTATGAGGGGTCTTTAAAAATTGATATTTTAGTTTGAGGTTTTAGTTTGAATTAAATTGCGGTATTTTATTTGTGTTTATGTAAATCTTTTAACAAAAGAATCTTGCATTTTATTCTTTAAACTAGCTGTTCCCGTGCGGCTTCATCCGCATGAAATTATAAAATTTTACTTTATTGTTTATAATTGTCAAATTATCAATAGCATATTTATGTCAAAATGACATGACATGACAAATCTTAGCAATCTTGATTTCTTGATGTTGGCAGCAACTTATGGTCTCTTTCCCACATTAGGGCTTTTATTCAAAATATAAGTAAGATTAAACCTAAGTTTAACGACGTGAAAATATATAGTCTAAAGCGTGACTTAAGTGTAGGGCTTTTTATTAAAAAATAATTATTCGAAAATATGCTGTGATTGTTGACATCTTAGGCAACAAAGTGTGTGTTTACGCTTTATTATAATAATATAGATTACATAAGGTGAATATTATAAGGTTTTCTTGATAAATATAAGTTGTATTTTGGAAAAGATAAATGTTTTCTTTCTTATATCTGTGGTAAATTAATTGAATTGTGTCCGTTGATATTGTCAAAGTTATTTAGGCGGAAAGATTTCTTGCCGTGTCTGGCGTTGGTCCAATTTCATCGGTATAATAGTTTTCTATATGGGTTTATTCCTCAACTTCGTATAGATTTATAATATTTGATATACTTAATCAAGATTTCTGAGTACCCAAAGATATATTTTTTTCAACTATGTTTTACCTATATTTTTTAAACCTTAAGTACTAGATGTTGCCCGCGATCTCGCGTCTGTGAAATTAAAAAATAATAAAAATATAGTCTTTGTTATTCACTATTAAAGCTTTGTAATGATATAATTTTTAATATCGACCCAATAGTTTTGAGTTATTTTGATATATACAAAAATCCAAGAATACAAATCTTTCCTCTTTATAATATTAGTATAGACTAGATAAAAGTATTCAAATCATAATTATGTTCTGATTCGGTTATATTTTTTGATTAAATGTGTGAGTGAAACATTCTTTTTAAGCTTGTTATCAAACATATATGTATTATTTATAAACATTAGTTATTTCAGGTGTGGTGTAGGTGTGTCCCGAAGTATGACGCAAACGTCCGCTATGAAAACGTAACATACCACTTATGAGACAATTTCAATATAATTGATATGTTTTCATGAGCAAAAGGTTAAAAGCAGATGAATTGACAACCTCCAGCTTTTCAGTCGGTTAATTAGTAACCTACACTGTTTCAGGCTGGTCTAACCCAATTTTCAGATTTGTTCAGCAGTATTGAAGTTACGAGACGACAAATATCTACCGATGCACACTTTCACATATTTCTCAAGCAAGATGTAATTTTAACAAATAATTAAGGTTACTGTCACACCCAGATATACTCCCTTAGTCAAAAATTTAAGATTGTTAATGTCAGTTGGGTTTGCCCTTAAGTCTAAACTGGCATCTCCCCAACCTTGTCCTACTCCCGTAGGGTCGACGCGTCGGGATTTAGTTCAAATAGCTATCATCCGTCATCTCAGACTTCAGTCACTTCTTGATCGTGTCACCTTTCACGTAATCCATCTCTTTCTAGGTGTATCTCTATCATTTTAAAGTTTTAAGAAGCCTAGATTTTTTGAAGCCGTAGCCTTCCACAACTGATACCACTTCTACTAAATTGATTACTATACAATTGATTCCCTTAAAGCAAGTGTTCTTAAAGTTGTATTTCCCTTGTCAACAGATGCCAGCAAGGCGTTGCGGAGCAATCTCCTGCGCATGCGCAGGTCAGCACTCGGCAAATCGGCCCCAGCGCTTTCTGTCCATGTGGTAATTTAAATTTATTATATTCTACATTCCGTGGAAGGCATTGGGGAAGGTCTATGTCCAGTGGTGGGCAGATAAAGGCTGGTGACGATGATATACGTAAACGTCAAAAAAAAACAAAATCGTGATGACCAGTGTTTAGTTAAGTCCCAGTCACTCCTAATTTAGAGTAGGCTCGAGTCTTTTTCTGGGGATGTATACGTGGGGTTTATAAAAGTTAAACACATATAACACAGTTTTTATAATCAATTCAGGAGGCCAACAAAATGTGTTGTCCGATAGTTTTTTTTATAAGATAGCTGTTTCCGTGCGGCTTTATCCGCATGGAATTATAAAAACTTTATTTTATTGTTTACATGTCTCACATTATCTATTAAAATGTCAAAATGACATGGCATGATTATAAAGCATGGCAACCTTGCTTCCTTAATGTTGGCAGCAACTTATGGTCTCTTTCCCACATTAGGGTTTTTATCCAAAATATTTATCCCCTAAGTTTAATGGCGTAAAAATATAGAGCCTAAAGCGTGATGCAAGTGTAGGGCATTTAATAAAAAAAAATATTCAAAAATATGATGTAATTGCTGACATCTTAGGCAACAAAGAAGTGTGTGTTTACACTTTATTATAATAGTATAGATATCTGCGAATTTGTCTAGCGTCTTGTATATGTTTGTGTGTACAGAAAGAGTCATGTGCGGTGTCAAGGCGGCCGTCTCGACTGCCTCCTCCGCCACCACATCACAGGCTATCTCTGGTGGTAAGTTGTCATTTATCTCACAAAAATGCGAAAGTTATGATGGATGTTTGTGTAACCTAAACGGTTAAACGGATCTGGATGAAATTTAGCATTATTTTAGAGAATAGTATGGAAGAACACATAGGTTACCTGCTTTTTTTCTATTCTACGAGGACAGAGTCGCGGGCGAGAGCTAGTATTAATGAGAGTGGAAATTATTTATAGAACGTGTAAACATTTTTCGTCTATAATATTATTATGGAAATGCTGATTTGACTTTTTGTGAAGTAAATAAAATTAAAGTTGCCAACACATAGTCAAATCTCATATGTATTAAATAACGAGTATTATTTTTTCTGATACTTTTGCTGAGCAAACGAGATTCTGTTCACGTATTACTTTCCATTATTTTCACAGACTCATGATGTTGACCGAATCAATTAGGTAACTTAAAGTAAGAGTTTGTTTGTTATGCGTTTGTTTTTCGACTCTATGGTTTTTTGTTCTGGCTTTAATTATTATTATACTTTTTATAACATAAGGTGGCAAACGAGCAAGCGGCCACCTGAATCCCAAAATGGCAAAGCGACCGCTGCCCACAGACATCCGCAATTGCAATTGCATTTTGCGTTGCCTACCCGTATCCGACAAAGGAGGAGAGGGACATATAGAGGATATTTCGCCCTTCTAAGCATCTCCTCCACCGTCAAATCCACTTCCCCTTCCCATCCTCATAAGAAAAGGATGGTAAAGGGAAAATTAAATTAGGCCTCCGGCACCACACTCATCAGACCGCGGAATTGCTTCCATTTCACTCCTGTCTTCTGTGTGGTCGTGGTATTACACAGGACGTAATATTCATTCATACTAAGATGTTTAAGCGGGCACTACCACTGTTATATTTCTATAAGGACTGCGGTCAATTAAGATGAAGTTTTGATGTTAATATAGATTAGGACTGACTAATGAAGCATTGGTTATCTTAGTTTTTTAAATAATGAAAGAGATGGCAAAATTTTATTGTACAAATGTCTCGGCTTAAGAAAGTCATGGAGATAAAGGTTAAAAAAATTGGTAGTTCTAAATACGGTTGATTCATGTTTCCTTGCAACAGTTGATGTCGAATTGCAAATTTTGTGGTTTAACCAAAGTTACGTGCGTGACGGTTAGTTAAACCACAATTCAAGGTCGAAATAGAACTGGCGATGCCCTTAGTGAATAAAGATTTACTAGCTGTTCCACTGGGACTTCATCCAAATCAAATTAAGAAAATTTTATTTTATTGTTTACATGTGTCAAATTATAATTTGCGAATGTCAAAATGACATGACATGATGACAAACCATGACAACCTTGTTTCCTTGATGTTGGCAGCAACTTATGGTCTCTTTCCCACAATAGAGTTTTTATCCATTTATCCCCTAAGTTTAATGGCGTGAAAATATATAGCCTAAAGCGTGACGTAAGTGTAGGGATTTTTATTAAAAAAACAACTATTCACAAAAATGCTGTAATTGTTGACATCTTAGGCAACAAAGAGGTGTGTGTTTACGCTTTATTATAATAGTATAGATAATATATTACTGGAAGTTTTTTTTTAAGTCTTTGGGTACTAAATTGTTTGCCCCATATACAATCACTGACGAAAAGATTTTTAGGTAATAAATCTAATGTTGACTTTTTTTACTAACGCTACAGAAACTTTGGTCCATACAATAATTTATTCATTAAAAATGTTCCAAAAGTTAAAAACGCACCCTTTTGTTCCAACCCTTTAAATTCTAACACTGCTTTAAGGGTGCAGTTATACCACGTTATTACTAAAGACCCCCTGTTAACTCATCAGTGCTTAAAAATCGCTTAATATGAACTTTAACCCTACGTAATAAGATTCAATAAAAATCCAAGTATACTAATGCATAGCAATGTACAGGAAATTTTCCCACAGCGAAGGGCCCGTGATTGAGTTCAATAGTTTATGAACCTCCCCGTTTCCCGCTTGAGAATGTATTCCCCTCTCCTTCCCGTTCTCCCCTTCCCCCTTTCCAATGTTCCCCTTAGAACTCTGTTGACCTTTATGTCAACAGCAAGCTTAGCCCGCGGCAAAGCCTAGAAATATATTCAACTTTTCTATGACGATATGATAAAAAAAATGTTTTGTTTATAATGGTTAAATTAGCTATTCATATGCGGCTTCATCCGCTTGAAATTATAAAAATTTTATTGTTTATATTTGTCAAACTCTCAATTGCAAAAGTCAAAATTACCGTTACCATAATATCCGTTTTTTAATGTTGGTAGCTTGTACTTATGGTTCCTTTCCCAAATTAAGGTTTTTTCCAATATATTTACCCCCTAAGTTTAATAGCGTGAAAATATATAGCCTAAGGCATGTCGTAATTATATCGTTTTTTATTAAAGAAAGAATTATTCAAAAATATGCTGTGATTGCTGACATCTTGGGCAACAAAGAAGTGTGTGTTTACGCTTTATTATATTAGTATAAATTGCCAGTTTCTCATGTTTTTCTCATAAAATATATAATTCTTTTTGTGTGCCGAAAAAAGTAACATTTTATGAGATTTTGTTAGGTATTTTCTTTATATTATTTTCATCGGTTTGATATATTGGAATAATATGTCACATTTATTCCCGTGAGAACTCGAACTGCGGACGCCTTTAATTATTTGTTGTTCTTGGCTACTCTATAATGTTTTTGTTGGCTGTAGATCATTGGGTAACTGTATAACGCTGCTCTGTGGTAAAACCGGTCCAAATGATGGATAATTTATAATATTTTCGATATGACGTCTTCAGACTTGGCAAATATTTCTGTAACTATTTGTTTAGATGAAAAATTAGTTACGCACGATTTCTCGGTCGAATTCGATAATCAATCCCGGATGATTTTTTGTCAAGCAAAAGTTTTTTTTTAATTTACTTGCTTATTAGCTGTCGCCCGCAATTCCGATTGCGTTTTTAAAAAGAAAAGTTAGTAGCCGAAGTGTTTTCCAGACTATCCTTTACGTATATGCCAAATTTTATCGAGATCCGTTTAAAAGTTTAGGCTACAAACTCTAACAAACATCTATCTAAACTTTCACATTTATAATACTGGTAGGTTTTATCGATCTAAGGCCCAATTGTAATGGTGTTTAGTATAGACTTCGTAGGGTGCGGGCGGCACCTCCCTTTTTGAGAATCGAAAAATGTGTTAGCTGTTCCCTTAGATCTAGTTTAGTTCATCGGCGATGCTCGTGTTTACATTAATCGACATCAATAGGTTTAAACTGTAAAAAAAGTAACTTGTAAAAAGTAACTAGTAAGTTATAACATGGGTAACTTCCAGAGCAGGGTGAATCGGAACTTATTGAGCTAGCGCGCATCTGTCCTTCGACCGCGTCTTCACTTAGCTTAGTTGGAATCCTGGTCAAGCGCTGGCTTATTTATGTTAAAAAAATCTTAAATATTCGAATCGTACTAAAGGATCGATTATTACGTTCAGTTTATTTTTATATAACTTTTAATTTTGAATTGCAAAATATTAGAAAGTTATAGATTTTGTACGTTTTTAGCAGTTTAGTAACATGAAATGTATGACTAAGCGAGCGCTTGAGTCGAGTGTCATTGAATAGATGTCGAGGATGCTACAAAGCTTTAACAAGTCGGTCGATAGCTGTATTCCACTTGTTTGAAATATCTTCATCCCTCTCTTTATCTATGAAAAAATAGAGACAACATTTATTATATGTTTCGGCATTTTATGTGACAGCTGACGTGAATGTATTTATATAATCTTATAGTATCTGGAAATTTTAATTGTTACGAAACATTTTTTCGAAAGTCAACTTTTTGATAAATTCTTGATAAATCCTTATTCAAAGATTTCTTTGTGACAATTATAATAAACTAGCTGTTCCCATGCGGCTTCACCCGCATGAAATCATAAAAAGCTTATTTTATTGTTTACATTTGTCAAATTATCAATTACAAATGTCAAGATGACATGACATGATGACAACCTTGCTTCCTTGATGTTGGCAACAACTTATGGTTTCTTTCCAACATTAGGGTTTTTATCCAAAATATTTACTCCCCTAAGTTTAATAGCGTGAAAATACGCCTACAGCGTGACGTAAGTGTACGGCCTTTTATTAAAAAAAAGGATTATTCAAAAATATGCTGTGATTGCTGACATCTTAGGCAACAAAGAAGTGTGTGTTTACGCTTTATTATTATAGTGTAGATATAATATTGTATATATTGAGAGTTTCAATAAATACGGGACTGATCGAGACCCATAACGCAAATAACACAGATGATTTACATACAATGTAAAGTAACATAAAACAAATACATTAAGTATGGGTCAAATGACAAGGTCCGTATTAGTAAGTAGTGAATTTTAAACACGCTTGCTAATCGCATATTAAATCTTATGTATAAAAACAATAAGTCAAACTCTAACAAAACACATTACGTGATTACCTATAGATAAAACACCCAATTTCTTATATTCCATGAATTGTAGAGCCAACATAAATTTTAATCGAACGAAAGTACAATCAGGGAATCTTAGTATGAACCTTTAAGGGTATAGTTTAAGTTTGTAACATAGAGATGACGGGAAACAATAACCAATAGGATGTAGTTGTTAAATGTCTACGAAAAAAGTTCGGTCAATGGTACACGGCTAATGGCTTATTATCACGTCAGCGTAACGTATTGCTAACTAAATTACTTTTTTTGAAAGAAGCAAAGTTTGTGTCTGAAAGGAACAAGGCATTTTTTTGTAAGTGAAATACCGCGGATATCCGCGATTGTACTATCTTGAATTTGGTTCTATAGGACAGTTTAGTTAGGGTCACTGTGCGCATTCACAGTGAACTTTGCGTCGCTTTTGTTTAACTTGTTTAAGGCTGGTTTAGTCTAAGCTAAATAACTAAAGTGTACATCTATTCCTGTATGTAGATAGCACGATGCGTGAAAGAGAGGTTTGATTATGCAAGGACAGGTTGGGCGTTATAGGCCGGTCTACAGTTCGCCGAACCCGCGACTGGGTTCTTTTGTTTTTAGACCATCGACTAGAAACAACTGGGGTAGTTGTATGTATTAAGATAACGTGATTTTTATGTTACGTCTTTGTGTGAGTAGTGCCGACTTTTAAAAGAGGAAAGATTTGTAGTTTTTTATTTTTGTATGTATTGAAATAAGTCAAAAACTACTGGGTCGACTTATAATATTCTTTTACCATTAGAAAGGTAATTTATCTGTGAGTAACATAGGCCATATATTTATAGATAACAGCTAGTAAAAAATAAAAAGATCTCTAATCACTCAGCAGTGTTATGAATCTTAAATAAGCTTTTATTAAGAAGGAATTAAAAGGAAGTCAAGTGCCTTGACGTATTATGATGCACTTTTCATCGTTGCTTATCATAATCTATTTGAACTTTATAAAGTGAAATATCGATGTTTATGTAAGTTGTAAATCTAGTACATTCAAACAAGGCTACTGTGCTGTTACTTTGATGAGTAATCGATATATTTTTTGTGTAACAGCTACGTGGGTGAATTTATAATGGTGTACAAAATGTAAATGCTTAAGTTGTATAGATTTCGTTGTACCAATAACTTAATTCTAAGAATGTTAGACTCTTTTTCCAATGTGCGACTATAGTATGTCTAAATAAGATAGATTAGAGTTTGATAAATGACGCATATGAAGTATCGAATTCAATTTGTATGAAGTGAAATGCCACACTTAATAGACAGGTATCGTAGTGACGAACAAACACGCATAGCGAACAATTTTGAACTATCGATATTCGGTTTAAATAATTATCGAACTCACTAAAATTATTATTTTCTTATTAACTAATTTATAGGACAATTCTAGTATTGATTAAGGTGTAGAGTATTTAGCGATGACAGAAATAATAGCGAAATCCAATTTGATTACGCACGGCTGTAGTAGTAATAAATATTTATTTACTCTTATTATTTGTTATGGACATTATTAATTTGAGAAAACAGTGTTTTTTTTTTAAATTCATAAGTTATAACTATAAATCTATCGGTTCCAACTTCTATAAGAATAAAAATCGAAAATCGATAAGATTCATGACTGATTTTACACAACCCATCCCTACTAAATATGAAGTGAATTGTTAAACTAATCTAAATTATTTAGACACACTATAGACGCGTGATTAGTCGCGCGCGACAATTTCTATAGCTCTCGGTCGTACCAATAGAAAAGTACATAATGCTTTTCAAGTTCCGGTCGTGTGTCGGAGCTAATCGTGCGCGTGGAAAAGGGATTTTATATTTATAACATGTGATCAGTTAAAAACTTAGTAGTCTGTGTTCTATCAGACTATGTTCTACATATGTGGCAAATTTCATTTATATACACGTAGTAATAACACATTGATGTTAAGATTATCATATTAGTGTGAAGTATGAGTATGATTTAAGTCTTGTCTATTTGTCCAGGTTGGTTCAGGGCGGTGCAGTTCCCCGGGTACGGGCCCACTGTCGCCGGCGGAGGGCCCTCGTTGGCCGCACGCTCACCACGCCCATCCTCTGCATCACGCTCTTTTGTCGTCCAGTGTCAAACGCGGCAAGGAGATGTAAGTATCCATCTGAATAAAAGAGTAACGTTTTATAAGATCCCTTAGTAATTGATTGTCACGATTCAGGCAAAAGAGACTACCATTTCACATAGATGGTCCTTCAAGCAGGATTAATTGTATCCAATGCTACGATATTTTTGTCTATTTTGTAACTAACTTTGTGATCCTTACGTCACACGGGTTTCGATTTTCATACTTGAGTTCGGTGTTTCTGTAACGAAATGTCTCTACGTCAGAAAGAAATCTTGTCCATGGTCAACACGGAAGCTAGTGTTAACCAATGTAATATTGAGTTGAAGGACGGTGATGACTTAATATAACGTGACCTGTTTTTGTAATAACATCATTGAAATAGCTACAGTGAATTTGTAAGTCTTGATGCATACAATAAAGTTAAAATTTTATGTTCCTTTGTGTTTTGTGATGATTCGCTGACCCTTATTTTGCAATAACATAAGGTGCATTTTCCAATAACTAATGTATTATTTATATCTTTTAAATGTAGTCAATATTGTAGACGAATTAATTAGAGACATATGGTTACATTTTTCATATTGTTTATAGTTAACGGTTTATAAATTCAATAGGAAAATCTACATGTTTGTACAATTAATATGGGTAAATACAGTTATTTATTTTTACGAAGGGAAATCTTAACCACAGTTTTCCGTTCTTGTCAGGTATTTAAAGGAAATTATGTTTGAATCGAAGTTTATTTGTAGAAATTAATTCTTTACGAGTCTATACATCGAACGGAAAAATGTACATCTCAAGAGATGTTACTGTTTTCGTTGGAATTGTTGAATTTATTTCTATCGCCAGTTCGCGTAGGTGGCATAGATTATGCGAACATTCCAGAAAATGTGACCTTTTTATCTGACAAACGCTAGTCTGTTCGCCAGAGCGGAACACCTACGCTAAGTTGTAATACACTAGAAACATACATGACTTTGTATATAGGAATGAGCACATGTAACTGATGTAAGAAATTATCGCACAACTGTTTCACTTTGATTCTTATGAGCTTATATGGAGGTGTGCACACTACTCGATTTTTGAACAACTAAACAGTTGAATTGATTAAAACAATCGACATTCGCACAGTTGTGCGATTGTTTAGTCACAGTGCGCCCGCTCTTAAGAACCGAGATGTTTATAAGGGAGAGAATACATCTGTCTGCAAAAGTAGCGGATAGCTGCTAGATGTAGTCTTAGGACAGCAACTGGCGCAATGCGTACACATGCCAGTAAAATGTTCATGATTTATGTCGGTGTTAAGATTCGTACCATCTACTTGCCCGTAGATGTCACAAAATCATATGTGCTAGCTTCCATATCATGTCACGGCAAGCCACTTTTTACATGCCTGCCAACTTGGCATGTGTATTCCCGCCTAAATGTTATACAAGTGTTAGGACTCTGGTAATTTAGACGAGGAAATGTAAAATGTAGTCAAAGTGCTGCTTTACAGAACTTGAGATTTAAACGGCTCAGTAAAAAGTTTATACTGGCCGGTTTTAACGTCGAATTAAAAAAAATTCTTAAAAACTTCTAATTTTTAATTTTTTATGTATGTATTTTCATGTCTGTGCCTCCAGAAATAAGGATATGTAAGTAAAGTAATAAATACTTAGATGTGATCCAGGTTTAACAAATGACGAACGCAAGTTATAGTGACACACGTAATGACTCAATGACCATTTGAAAATGGAGGAAACAAAACACAATGACTTTTGATAAACCATTCCGGTAGTACTATATTTTATTATACTATATTTTTTTAAGGAGTGGGAGTCCTTAAAAAATATAGTCATCTCTTATCGAAATAAGTAGAGATATCAAACGTTTTAGTAATACTTCGTCAGTGATTGTAACCTAAAAAATCATTTAGATCTGTTAGCGAAGTCTGTGAAATATCTTCATTTTATTTATCCAAAACTAGCTGTTCCCGTGCGATTTCATCAGCATACATTTTTTTTATTGTTTACATGTCAAATTGTCAATTGTAAATGTCAAAATGACATGACATGACAAAACTTGGCAACCTTGCTTCCTTGATGTTGGCAGGAACTTATGGTCTCTCTCCCACATTAGGGTTTTCATCCAAAATATTTACCTCCTAACTTTAATGGCGTGAAAATATATAGCCTAAAGCGTGACGTAAGTGTTGGGCTTTTTATTAAAAAAAGAATTATTCAAAAATATGCTGTAATTGCTGACATCTTAGGCAACAAAGAAGTGTGTGTTTACGCTTTATTATAATAGTATATTATGGATGGATATATGTTACTATGTATCTTCAAAACGGATTAACTTGATGAAATTCAGCTGTAGAACATATTTTGAAAGGACACATAGACACTAAGTATTTTTTAATTTTGACAAATTCGCGGGAAAAAGCTCTTTTAATATTTCTTATTTTTCGCTATAAGTTCTCATAATGAAGCTTTGTGGAGCGCGGTTCAATCTACCATGAATAATCCAAGCTCTGTTTGCATCAGTGGATGCCAAGGTCAGCTGTTTTAATGCCATGAGCTACTTTAATAGGTGTTGGTTTTGTTTTTTTAAATTTCGATGCTAGTCTACAAATAGTATGTATATTTTAAAAAATATCACGAATTTCTCGATGACGTAGCGTTAAAATCGCTTGAAGTGGTAATTTAATTAATATTGATTGAAAATAAATCCTCGTTTTGTTCTTTTCTAACGAATGTTAAATCCTTATTAAAGAGGCCAAAGAGTAGATTACTTGAAGAAAAGACATCTCATATTATGTCTATGATAATTCAATGTCAATTGAGAATTCTCAAAAATATCCATGCATCATATAGTACAAACTTCATTATAAATTTAATGCACTCATCGATTCCGCTTTTTATCTACGTTCGTATTGACGCAGTGTTTTCGCGCAAAATGTGCATATCAGATAAAAAAATATTAAATATCTGAACTCTTTACGTCCAGATAACTGTAATGGATGTGACAAATACTTGATTTTGTTTTGTATAGAAAGGATCATCAGGAGTTTTGATAGAGTACTTCTAAACAGTTTTTGGACTTCGTCCTTATAGAATTTAAAAATATAGTAATAATTGTAGCTTATGTCACTTAGTGATAATGTAGATTTCTAACGATAAAAGATTTTTTTTAAATCGGTCAAGTACTTTTTAAGTTTATTTGTTACAAACAAACATACGATTTTTTCTACTTTATAAAGGCCTTAGTTAAGACCGGCTAAAATTTACCATACCCATCAAAACTCGGTTTAAACTATAAATTGCTTGCATTTTGTTGTATTTATAACCGGTTTTAAACATTAAAACTCTGTGCAGAGATGGCAGAAGATGGTCGGTGGCGTCGCTGCCTTCGTCTGGGTATGGGACAACGCCCGGCAGCTCCAGTCTGTCAGTAAGTATCTATTCCTTCTTAAAAATGTAATGTATGCCACACACGTTAGGTTCTACATGACGAATGATTTAATATTTAATCTACTGGGCTACCTTATCATGTGTGTCATCCTTCTTTTACTCTAAATTGAGGCGTATTAGGCTTTTGTCCTTATTTTCAACATTGACTTTTATGTAGTAGTTTAATAATGTATTTCATCGATATCTGTAACGGCAGTTACAATCTGTGATAGTAACGAGCGGAACAATCACTTTATCGGTCGCTCAGTCAATGCACCTACACACGTGGGGCTTCGAGATTAGCGGTTTTACAGCTTCACTAGAGTTAACACGTGCGATATTAACTACAATGTTTTTTTGTTTTATTTTATAAGAAGAGAAGGCAAACGATTTGATTTAAAAGAAACAATTTCATAATAATAGTAATAAATAAAGACAATAGCGGAAAATATGAATAGAGATCGATTTTCACAAACGGTAAATCGTTTTTACCCCATGCTTTAACGCCCCTTACAACTAAAATTGTGTTCTGAAAACTACAATATTTGCTAATATAAATGTAATATATAATATAAAAACCAATTTAGTTCTTTAAAAATGTTACGGATACAAGATGTGAATTGTGAAATGGATATTTTCATGGTTATACTTGTGAGAGCGATTGACGCTGTCTTCCTGGCCCCAGCGCCGGTTATTGCATGTGGCGTTAATTGCTCCGAGAAGTGGCAGGAATGTACGTGATTCATTTTGCTTAGCATACACTGAGTGGACTATTTATGTTTACTGTAATACTATTTATAAACTGTAGCAATTAAGTTGGTATGCAGTACTGAGTTGACGGATAGATCTGAACGAGTTTATTGCGTATACAAAAGTGATGTTTGTAGCAACCCTATTTCCAAGCGTAGTAGTAGTCGAGAAATTTGGTAGCAACCCTTGGAAGTGATTCTTGGTTATTAATAATGTTTTTTTTATTCTAATCAGTTGATTTATGGTTGAAAATTGCGTGCACACTTTTTATGCAAAATGAAAACATTATAAATTAGCGTATTTAACGTCAGGTGCGTTGCGTACTATATTTTCGTCTGCTACATACAATCCGATAAAATCAACTTTATGTAATTGTAATAAAGTTCATTTTTGTTAACAATAAAACTGAATCTTTGATGTTGAAAGCGGTCCAAGAATCTGCGATGTTATCTACGTCTTGAAGCGTTGATAAACACGAGAGGCTGTGATGACCTATGGCAAGACGAGCGTAACGATTTCTTTTAGACAGCACTTCGTATTATAAGACCTTCCTTGTGAAAGGTTAAGATGCATTTAGTGAGATGCTTAAGAGTCTAATTGAAATAATAGTTGTGCCTAACGCTTTACAGCTAAAAGGATAGTTAATGAAGTGCTTTAGGATCTATAGTTTAGTTCTGTCTTTTGGGATTTACAAAATGTTTCTTCAATGTATTCTAAAACAATCGTCACTTGTCTCTAAAAGACTATTCCTCCTTTTAAAGGTGTACTTAATATAATTCCAGAATATTCTAGACTCGTTACCAGCAATGTTTAGTAAAAGTCGTTGTTTGTTTTTAATTAAAAATGTATAAAGGAGGGTTTGTTACACCCTAGGGTAATATTTACATGTCATGACATTAGGCATGAGTTCATAATGTACATATACTTAAACAAAGGTTTTATTGTGAAGTCATGCTCGCAAAAACTTCACCTATACGACCACGCCTTCGTAGCATACCTTTAAAACTAGTATTAGACAACTTATTTAATTGATACTGTCGCTTTTAACTCAGAGCAATATTTCTCGTCCAGATTCAAGTTACGCGCCAATCTATCCATACTTCTAATGACATTGACAGCTGTCAGCTAGGGACGTGACGTTCTTGCCGATAATCTAGAGTTGCGCTAATTCTATAGCACGGTACTAATTTTATTCCTAACACTAGGTTGCTATAGACATGGTATCTTTATAGTTTAAACTAGCAGTCCCCGTGCGGCTTCATCTGCATAAAGTTAAAAAAAATATTTTGTTGTTTACATTTTTCAAATTATCAATAGGAAATGTCAAAATGATGCTCTTGCTTCCTTGATGTTGGCAGCAACTTATGGTCTCTTTCCCACATTAGGGTTATTGGCTAAAATATTTACCACCTCAGTTTAATAGCGTGAAAATATATAGCCTAAAGCGTGACATAAGTGTAAGGCTTTTTATCAAAAAAGAACAAAATCGGGATTATTCCCAATCGTCACCCCGATCTGTCCCCACGTTAGAATAAAAAGCTTCATCCGTCCCACCATCACCAATAAGGTGACAGATGGGACGTTTTGAAATAAAATAAGTTGCATCCGTCCCCTCGTCATAAAAGGTGGGACGGATAAAAATTTTTATTCTCATCTTTTTCCACGTAGGGATAGAGCGGGGTGACGGTTGAGAGTAATCCCAAAATCGATGTAATGTGCGGATACATGTTCAGATTTATTACGCGCCTGATTGAACTATTGGTCGATAAAATTGTTGAGTGCGTAAGCTGTCAGTAAAGTAATTCGTAAAATGTTCAATTACACCTCCTTTAAATTTGCAGTATAATGTTTGTACTACTAAATGGGTTTTTACCGAAAAGTATCTTTTTATGTTAAAAAAGTTTTTTAATCTTTGAGTCTACTCAAATGTAACAACTCGCTAGCTAGAAGAAATGCTTCTATTTGGTGGAGTTTGAAATAATGTAGGTAGAGGTCAAGGTCCGTACGGTCCGCTGCACGTGGTTAGTCTGTAACAATCTTATGAGGGCCCTTAAATATTATAATGCTCTAGTTTGTAGCATAACTGAATTTGAAGCGATGTTTTAGTTTAAAAAATATACTACCCCAGTTTGAACTCTCACTTAGTTATTTAGTGTAGATTTAGAATGAAAAAAGTACTCTAATAGACATTATTAGTGACTAATTGTCGATTGAATGGCTCTTCAGTAACAGTGTGATAAACTTTCATTTCTATTTTCAAACAATTAATATAATTGTAACTAGCGATGTTAATTTAAATACCCCACTGGAGATTTCGCCAGGTATGCGCGCGAATCAGACATCCTTCTAATGACATTGACAGCTGTCAGCTAGGGATGTGACGTTTATGCCGATAATCTAGTGTTGCGACAATTCTACATTACGGTACTAATTTTCTTCTTAACACTATTAAACTAAATTGTCTTTTTATTTTCGAAAATACTGATTTAATGGAGATGTATGACAACACGTTTCTATACGGATTAGACAGTGGAAACAAACACAACATGGTTAACAAAGTAGCAGTTCTTAAACCTCATGTAAACGCAGAAGGAAAAGTTGTGTAATAACACACGTTTCCTTATTCGTTGTACTATTTACAAACGTCAGTCGTTTAAATCTGATAAGCAGTATTTATGGCGTTGTTTAGTAAGCAACAGGAGTATAGACCGTGAGTTTTGAGACGCGTAAGGCATGAGTTATTGGTCGCAAGGTCCGAAACTTTAGAGCCACCAGAGGTTTAAGTTTTAGCTATGTTTGAAGACAGAGAGCTTCACAGACGCTTTAAGTATCCAAACCACAAAGGTGGAAACTCGATTGGTTCGAAAGTTATCAGGACCTAGGTAGTTGCATATTTATAACGGGTTACCATAATCTTCCTGGCGACAAGAAATGCTCCTCGCTTTAGCAGTGATAGAGCTTTCAACAGTGGTAGAGCCCGCTTTAACATCTTAGCACTGCAGGGCCGGCTCGCCCGGTGTAATACTACGACCATACAGAAAACAGGCGGGAAGTGGACGCAATGTCGCGTTTTGTCTGATTGGTGTGGTGCCGGAGGCCTAATTTTAGTCCCTTTCCCTTTCCACCCTTTTCTTAAGAGAAAGGGATGGGAAGAAAAAGTGGATTTGACGGTGGAGGAGACACATACGAAGGGGAAATGTCCTCTTTATGTGCGTCTCCTCTTCCTCATGATTTAACGTATGGCGAACTGTTTGTTGATGTTTTTTTTTCCATAAGAATGTTCTAAAAGTCGTATGTCGTTGTAGAACAACCAGATTCACTGTATTCGTTTGTACAATGTTGCAGTCGCAATGCTCGTCCCAGGAGCGTCTGTTGGCGGCGCAGGGCGCGTACGAACCGCCGCGTGCGCCCTGCCCGCACTGCCAGCAGCATCAGAACTCGCTCAAGTAAGTTTACACCTTATTACTTACAGCATAGAGTCTATTTTACTACTTTCTTTTTTCTAGGATCATTGTTAAACGAATTTACACCTTAACGCTTACTGCACAACGTTAAGAATAAATTATTCTACATTCTAATATCCAGAATGGATATTTGTCGTGTAAATTTATGCTTTCATACATAGGGGTTAGAGTTTGTTCTTCTGTAGTCATGCCTGAAGGTTGTCAATCAGCCATAACAAAGTCATGAATTTTTTGTTTCTGTATTATCTTTTTTACTGTCGAAGGACGCTTTTGAAGTAAAAACTTTTGTTTTGTAATCATTATTACATCTAAAGTTACCCATGGTAAGGTATGGATGGAGCCGTTAAAAGGGGGAGGAGGGATAAATAAGATCTATGGATATGGTAAAGGCCTCTTTGATTATTCAGAAATCCCGAGTATAACATATTTAGGTTCTCAGTATAAATTGCTGAAATAGAAATGTCAATAAAATATATTTAGATAACAGACGTTTCTTGAATATCGATCTTATTACTTCTGGAATAAGAGCGGAAATATCTTTACTATTAGTTCATTGAAAGAAGATGTTTCCTGATCGAAAATACGGAAGGCAGTTAAACCTTGCTGGAGGTCAAGTGGAACTGTAAACGGAAACGATAATAGTCCAATTAAATGAAATTTATTAGAGACGAAACAGAATCTATTGGACCGTATTATTTATCGGTTAAGAACACTTTTGGTTTATCTCTATTGGAGCAAATTTTATTAATTTCACCAAGGAATTTGTATTTTCGGATATTTGAGTTTTGCTTTATAATTTAATTTTGTATATTCACCATTGTCCTTTCAATTGTGTGTTGAAAAACCAATTTTAATATATGGTTGTTTTAGTTAATGTTTACTCACAGATTAAGATTTAAATAAAATTAAATACAGTTGGTGCGTGCGACTTCTCCGTATGCAATAAAAAAATATATAATGTAGGTTACATTACTCACAGATAAAATACCTTTCTAACTGCGCAAAATTTTATGAAATCGGTCCAGTAGTTTTTGAATTATTTCGATATGTACGAAAATAGAATTTCCTCTTTACAATGTTAATATAGATGATAATAAAGAGTCAATAAACATAAAACTATTTTCCATTGCAGCAGCTCGCAGGGGTCCGGCATGAACTGGGCGTCGCTGTCGGACAGCGGGGGCAGCGGCCACGCCCCGCGCGCGCCCTCGCCACGCCCCGCACCGAAGCGTGTACGCAGTCGCAGTCTCAGGTATACTATTTAGTACAGACTAGATGTTGCTTGCAATTTAACTTAAACAAAAAACTACATGTACCCCAGATACTTAATATTTCTTGGGATTAATCGTATCCTATGTATTAATCCATGATTTGTTTTATGTATATCTGTCCCAAATTTCAATAATATATAACCGTTGTAGAATGACCAAGTGTTTATTAAAAAAAATAGTGTATTAAAAAACTAAACAAAATGATTGTATCTAAGCAAGAATTTGCAGTATATGAAATGAATTTATAATGAATGTGTGTTTTTGTAATGGTGTTTGCAGTTCGCCGTCGCGGTCGCCGGGGGGCGGGTCTGGCGGCGAGGGCGCGCGCGAGGACGCCGTCACAGCGATGTCCGCGCTCTTCGCCGCGCGCTTCCCCGCCGCACAGAAACACATGGATGACAAGTGTGTACACATTTACACTAACCTCTACACATTGACACTAATCTATACACATTTGTACCAAAGTGTACACATTTGTACCAAAGTGTACACATTTGTACCAATGTGTACACATTTGTACCAATGTGTCCACATTTGTACCAATCTGTACACATTTGTACCAATGTTTACATTTTTGTACCAGTCTGTACACATTTGTACCAATGTGTACAAATTTGTAGCAATGTTTACATTTTTGTACTAGTGTGTACACATTTGTACCAAAGTGTACACATTGCACCAACATGCGTGCATGTACTAATATAAACAAAAGTACGATAAGTATGCCTATGTCTTTAATTTTCTACCTATTTCAGATTGCGGGGACTTATTGACGAGTTGACGGAACTTGACAAGAAACCTGACAGGCCTCCTATAGAAAGATTTGTTCAACGACAGGTCAGTTGTGAACTAATAAATAAGATAAGCCGTCATTGATAATATTTATTGTAGTTTTATGATTTTATGTAACTGACATCTTTGTAGGTGTTGGAGATGGCGCGTGATTGTTTACACAAGTCGGAATCCAAGCAGGTGACCAGCACGTACTTCTATGACATGGCGGACAGTCTCGACAGGTTGTTAGCTGAGGTAAGTTAGTACACATTTTTATGAAATTTTTCTCTTTAAGAACTATAATCTCATTATTTGTTACTGCTTACCTATTTTTCGAGGAAATTCTATGATTACGCCCATATTTTGTAGAATAGTTCTCATTTTTAGGTAATTACTTAAATTAAAAAAAAAACAAATATCTGAATTGAAAGTATTTCCGTATGTAATAATTTACTTATGTTATTTTTTTAACAAATTGTTATTTTGTTTAGACTCGTGAGAAGTCTGCGGAGGCGGGTGCGCAAGTGGCGCCGCTGGTGACGCGACTGGTGCTGGCGATGGCGCGCCCGGCGAGACTGCTAGAGTGCCTGGAGTTCGACCCTGAGCGCTTCTACCGCCTGCTAGAGGCCGCTGAGGGGCATGCCAGGCAGTCGCAGGTTAGAGATTACACTGTTACGCCATTACACATACTATTACACTAATACACTTTTACACACGCAATTACACTGTTACACTTTTACACACGTTGTTACACTGTTTACACATTTGCGCTATTTCATGGTTCTATTATTACAAAATTACACATAGAATTTTATACCGTTACACTTTTACACAACTGTACCATTCCACTGCAAATGATCCCTATGATGTGTACACAACGAGTAGCTTAAACAGAACTTTAAGTATGATGGATAAATTGTAAAGCATTATTACACAAACGCACTAATTCATTCTAGTGGATATTCCAGTACATAACAAGTATTAAATCTTACTTCTTACTAATATTATAAATGCGAAAGTTTATATGGATGGATGGATGGATGGATGGATGGATGGATGGATGAATGTTTGTTAGCGTTTGTAGCCTAAACGGCTGAACGGATCTCCATGAAATTTGGCACAGGTTTAGAACATAGTCTGGAAGAACACATAGGCTACTTTTTATCCCGGGATAAGTTACGGTTCCCGTGGGATTCATTAATTTAGTTTTTTAATGTTTACTCGATCATTCTGCAACGGTTCGACATATCTTATTGAAATTTGGCACAGATATAAAACAAAGTCTGGAGTACACATGAGATAAGCTTCATCCCCGAGATGTCCGGTTCCCGAGGGATACGTAGCTTTTTGTTATTTATGTAGTTCGTATGTTTTCCAATACTACGCGGACGAAGTCGCGGGCAACAGCTCGTAATATAATATAATAAAAATATGATATAATAATAAATACAATATATATTCCAGGGTATAACGACGGACATCCCGCAGTACATAATACACAAGCTGGGGTTGTCACGTGACCCGCTGGCGGAACTGCACGCGCCGCCCCCGCCGCCGCCGCCGCCCCCGCAGCACTCCGCCTCGCCCTCCAAGTTAGTACCACCGTAATCAAATTACTGCCATCAAAACACCGTTGCTATACCTTCTAAAAACATCCATCCATCTAACTGCTTTTTTGTTTGGGTCGCCTGATATTCGACTATTGTCAAAAACCTCGAACTTATTTGGAATGGCAATAAGATCTGTGTAATATTCTCTAGTTTTGTAATGTTACTTGTATTCTTACTAATATTGTAAATAGAAAGAATTAAATGGATTTTAGAGTTTGTAGCCTAAACTGAACGGATTTCGATAAAATTAGAGTATAGTTTGAAAGAATACATGCTACTACTTTTGTTTTTTTTATTCCACGGCCGAAGTCGCAGGGAAAAGATAGTATATGTATAAAAATCTATATATGTGTTCTTTTTATAAAGTAGTAAATGTAATCTATACATATTATCAACAGAAAAGATTTGTATTTTTGTATGTATTGTAACTACTCAAAAACTACTTGGCCCATTGAAAAAATTTTAACACCATTAAAAAGCTATGTTATCAGTAATATGGGCTATATTTCATTATTATTTTTAATGGTATGTAGGCGAAATTGCAGGCAACAGCTAGTTCATTATGTGTTTGTTTGCAGGGGGCGTGGCCGCCAGTCGCCGCCGGGCGCGCCCCCCGGCGGCGCCCCGCCCAGCGAGAACGACTACCACGTCATCAAACTGATCTCCAACGGCGCGTACGGCGCAGTCTACCTCGTCAAACACAAACTAACCAGACAGAGGTCAGTAGGGGCACTTTTACTTAATAAAGTGTTTCGTAATTCTCATTTGATTTTACAAAGGAAATTTATGTTTAAACAAATTAAATTAAGTCTTTAATATCTCTCTCTCTCTCTCTCTCTCTCTCTCTCTCTCTCTCTCTCTCTCTCTCTAAATGTCTAAGTGTCTCCGTAAAGTAAGAAATAAATTGCAGTGTCTGTACGTAACATAAAAAAAAAATTAAATTATCGAAGTTGATGCATTTACGTTACTGATATCGAAAATCTGAGTTAAAACATTTTTGTCTGTCTGTCCGCAATAGTTGCGAATAATTTCCGAAATAGTTAATAATCTAGACATTGTAATCTAAGGTAAGAACAGTTACGGATATACCTAAAAACTGTTTATTTGTATGTAGATATGCAATGAAGAAGATAAGCAAGAACAATCTAATCCTGAGGAACCAAGTGGAGCAGGCCTTCGCGGAGAGAGACATCCTCAGTTTTGCTGATAATCCTTTTGTGGTAATTATTTATATTAATTTGTAAACGTATGGATACGTAATGTAATAGGCAGTTCGCAAACGTTTTCCTACATTTATTATTCAAAGAAATAGTAACTTTTTCTCAATTAAAATTATTGGCTATTTATATTTTAACTGACCAATGAAAATCTTGTCTCGGAATACTCCAAGAGCAACTCAGAACAAAAGAAAAGAGGTATTTAAAAAGACCTACAATTTGACTTTTAACTATCTTTTGATTTATGACAAACTAGCTGTTGCTTGCGATTTCGGCCACGTGGAATTTAAAAAATATAGCCTATGTTACTCACTAATAACGGAGCATTTTAACGGTGAAAGAGTTTGAAATCAGCCTAATACTTTTTGAGTTATTTCAATACATAAAAAATCCAAAAGTAGAAATCTTTCCTTGAATAATATTAGTATATACCAATTTTCAGGTGACGATGTACTGTTCGTTCGAGACGAAGCGCCATCTGTGTTTGATCCTGGAGTTCGTGGAGGGCGGCGACTGCGCCACGTTGCTGCGCGCCGGCCCCCTGCCGCCCGACATGGCGCGACATTACTTCGCTGAGGCAGTGCTCGCTGTCGAGTATCTGCATTCATACGGCATCGTGCATAGAGACCTCAAGCCTGATAAGTAAGATGACATGACTCGATATGACACGACTCGACTCGACTCGACTCGACTCGACTCGACTCAATACGACAAAACTCGACTTGATGCGATACTACATGAAACGATACGAGTCAACAGGACAAAGTACTCTCTCGCTTTGCAATTTTTACTTACAAGTCTTTACTTGGAATGCTTTAATAGGAAGGGGAATTCTTTTTGGCGAAAGTTGCCCATAAAGAGGAGATATCTTATTTCTGTGCGTCCCCACCTCAGTCGGTTAAAGGTAGGCATCTGTTTTTGCGGATGTCTATGAGAAGATCGCTTCGCTATTTTGACGAATTCCTGGCCGCTTGCGTTTATCACCTTATATTTAAAGAGTAAATGTAATGAATTTACTTTATTTATAATCGAGTTCAATACAATTTAGAAATTATATAAACCTGACTAAACGAATTTATCTGTTGCAGCCTTCTTATAACTGCGACGGGACATATAAAGTTGACGGATTTTGGACTAAGCAAAATGGGCCTTATGTCGTGTAAGTAACATTCAAAATTGACTAATAACGTTCATTTGTTTTCAAATTATTTAGAGAATGTTTTGCCTTTATAATTTGTTGAATTTCAATCTTGTGTCTTCTACAAATTATTTGGAATGTTTTGCCAACAGAATTTAAGCTCTAAGTGTACGTGTATAAGGTTTAAATTTCAATAATTTCCCACAGTGGCTACAAATCTGTACGAAGAGTACGCGGACCGCGAGGCGCGTCAGTTCTCCGACAAGCAAGTCTGCGGTACGCCGGAGTATATCGCTCCTGAAGTTATACTGAGACAAGTATGTAGAAAATATATACCAAATTATTACTAAAACACACATTTATTTGTTATGTAGGATCTCAGCAATCTTACTAATATTATAAATGTGAAAGTTTAGATGGATGGATGTTTGTTAGAGTTTGTAGCCTAAACTGCTGAACGGATCTCAATAAAATTTGGCATACATGTAGAAAATAGTCTGGAAGAACGCATAAGCTACTTGGTTTTGTTTTTTATTAATAGCACGCGGACGGAGTCGCGGGCGAAAGCTAGTCACTTCATATTTTTTAAAAAATATTTTTTTAATAAAATGCCCTACATTTATGCCATGCTATATATTATCACGCTATTAAATTTAGGGAGTGAATAAGTTGGAAGAAATGTCATGAAAGCCGTACGAGAACAGTTCGTTAAATGTATCGTCAAATAATCGGTATATGTTTACTATAGGAGACCCTTACACATTTAGACTTGTTATAGTTAAGTGGTTTCTTTATTAAAAAGTGTAAATAAGTAGCAACTAAATTTACTTTTAGTGTTTGATTAATTTCTAAATGCTGCAGTTAGCAAAATCTTTAGAAAAACTTAAAAAAAATAAAAAATTTACTTCTATATTTTTATAATTTACACTCAAAGTTATTTGAAAAGTAGCTTTATATATTTTTCATAATAAATCGATATTTAGGGCTTCTTAAATTATTCTTAGTAAGTGATGTGATGTTCCAGGGTTACGGCAAGCCTGTGGACTGGTGGTCTATGGGTGTGATCCTGTACGAGTTCCTGGTGGGCTGCGTGCCGTTCTTCGGAGACACGCCGGAGGAACTCTTCGCTCATACTGTTAACGGTAACTTAGAAAAATCTTACTAATATTATAAATGCGAAAGTTTAGATGGATGGATGGATGGATGGATGGGGGATGGATGGATGGATAGATGGATGGATGGATGGATGTTTGTTAGAGTTTGTAGCCTAAACGGCTAAACGGATCTTCATGAAATTTGGCACAGGTTTAGAACATAGTCTGGAAGAACACATAGGCTACTTTTTATCCCGGGAATAGTTACGGTTCCCGTGGGATTCATCAATTTAGTTTTTTAATGTTTACTCGATCATTCTGCAACGGTTCAGCATATCTTATTGAAATTTAAAACAAAGTCTGGAGTATACATGGGATAAGCTTCATCCCCAAGAAACGTCCAGTTCCCGAGGGATACGTAGCTTTTTGTAATTCATATAGTTCGTATGTTTTCTAATACCACGCGGACGAAGTCGCGGGCAACAGCTCGTAAGCTATATTATAAGATTTTTAATAACTTTAGAACTCCATTGGAGTTTTTTTTCTCTGTTTGTCGTGATGTCTGTGAGTTTGTGTGCGCTAATCTCAGAAACTGATTAGTTTATTTGGATTTACTTTCTATAAATATATTGATGTTAGTTTCACTTAAAATTTGGCGTTGTTTAATTCTCAATATATGCATAAATAAAAGAATTATGTGAATTTAAATCTACAGTTTTAGGAATTTTCATGAACTTCTCGTAATTCTTTATTTTTATACTGTGAATATGTTTTCCAGATGATATAGAGTGGCCCTCAGAGGAAGACTTTCCTATAGCGATAGAAGCGAGGACCATCATCACGGAACTCCTCGCCAGGAACCCGCGCGACCGCCTCGGTACTGGCGGCACGCATCAAGTCAAGGTAAAAAACTACGGTTTCAAAACTATGACTATTCTTTATATGACTAACTGTTGCTCGCGACTTTGCCCACTTGAAATTAAAAAAATAATACAAAATATAGCCTATGATACAGATAAATTTCCTTTATTATATTGAAAGCATTTTAAAAATCAGCCCGTTAGTTTTTTCGTAAATCAAATACATACAAAAATCCAGAAATGCAAATCTTTCCTCTTTAGTATAGTAGCTGTCGCCCGTAAACTTTATTAGCGCGCTATAAAAATGGTCTTCTAGAACATTACCTCGCGCATCAGCTACTTTTTGGTCAAAGTCCTGTCAAAATCTAGGCAGCCGTTTCCTAACTACATCATCTTCGCGAAATCTGTATTTGTTTCATTAAATATTACATACAGACACACCAATTTCATTATATGTATAGAAGAATATTTGGGAAAAAAAGTGTTTTTATAATTATTTCCAGGATCACATATACTTCTACGGCTTGGATTGGAATAATCTGTTGCGACGTAAGGCGGAGTTCATACCGCAGCTGGAGAATGACGAGGATACCAGTTATTTTGATAGTAAGTAGACATAACGGGTGTTTTTTCCCTTTGGAGGGTCAAATTCGTACAATCAATCGACCTAATGCGAAAAAAAAATCCCAATGGGCCCCTACTGGAGTTGCATTTTGGTCAGATTCGTGTTTTTTCTTTACAGAGTTTTATGTTTGTTTTATTGATATTTTTGTATGTCAGGTCGCTGTGACCGCTACAACCACAGCGAGGCGGACACGGACGAGGCGGGCGAGGGCGGGGAGCCGGGGGAGGATCCGCTGTTCGCCGCCTTCTCCTCCACTTCCCCGCAGTGGAGGAGACATTACCATCACTCGCATTCACACTCCCACTCCGTGGTATCACATGATTCCAGGGTAAGATACTGTTCCAATATTTTGATAGCTTAGTTACTTAGCTTAGATAGTACTCTTTGCTGCATGTAAATTTTTTTAAGCAATCATTCAGAATGTTATAAGCCCAGATGTTTGAAATATGTAAAATTACTTTAGGAAAAAGATTTTATATTGGATGTCTTCCAATATATATCAGATTTTTGCTTTTTAATACCATTATCATATTCACTTTAGTATATCTCATGATTTGTTTGTAGTTGCTACATCTTGCTTGTTCAAATATAGTCTAGAGTCTTTGATAATGTAATAGTTTACAGCTTTAGCTTGAATATTAGTTTATGGTTTTAGTATTTTTGCTTATTAATGTATTTTATTTGCACAGAGCACGGACAGCTGGCCGGGCACGCCGGACAGCGCGGGCCCGCCCACCACGCCCACCGCCCACCACCACCCCAAGTGCCCAGTGAGTAGCACTCACCACTCTTTATATCAAGTTTTCTTGTCTCATTAACAACCACATTCATACTTCATAGCTTTAAACATCAAACACTTAACTTACATATAAAGTTTGCTTTATAGGTGCGATAGATCCTAGATGCAGATTTTTATGTTAAACCCACACATATAGATGTTTTTAAACGGAAAAAAGTTAGCCATTAGACCCTTAATTTTATATATGTATTTGTTTTTGCTAGTGATTTTAGCCGCGCGTAATTAAACTTGGTAAGTAGCCTATGTGTTCTCCCAGACTATTCGAAGTTCATCTAGCTACGTTTAGTCATTTTGGAGAGACGCAATAAACATCCGTTTATCCAAACTTTTCGTCCTCGTCCGAGACTCTGTCGGCGTGGAATTTAAAAAATAAGTCATTTGATCTACGTGTAGTGTACTTATCTATTTATTTAATTATTTATATATTACACTACATTTATTTATTTATCATTTATTTATAATATAACATTACATTCACGCATTCACACACATCCATTCACACAAATACATTTCAATTTATATATTTTATATGACACAACTTCATACGTACAGACAGACACGCACACTCCACATTCACACTATATAATTTCATATACAAAATAAAATATTATTATAACACGTAAACAAAATGGCGGGCGAGAGGGCAAACGAGCGAGGTGTCAGCACAGTGTAGCAGCGCGAGGCGACTGTTTGGTGGCCGGCGCGGCGCGGTGCATGATTTGCAGTTGCACGTTGTGCGTACGCGCCGCGGGCGGCGCTCTGCAGCGCGTTGAAATTATATAGTGTGAATGTGGAGTGTGCGTGTCTGTCTGTACGTATGAAGTTGTGTCATATAAAATATATAAATTGAAATGTATTTGTGTGAATGGATGTGTGTGAATGCGTGAATGTAATGTTATATTATAAATAAATGATAAATAAATAAATGTAGTGTAATATATAAATAATTAAATAAATAGATAAGTACACTACATACGTTTAAGACAAATTTTATCGAGATCCGTTTAGCCGTTAAGCGGTAAACTAAACCAATCCTTCCATCTAAACGTTCGTTTTTATATTACTGGCTGTTGCTCGCGTTTTCGCCCACATGAAATTAAAATAAACAAAATATAGCCTATGTTATCAAATAAATTGCCTTTATAATGTTAAGTTTGTTTGTTATCAGTTGGTGGGAACGGGCGGAGGGTCGACAGCGGAGTCTTCACAAACGGATTCTGACGACGTGTCGCCGGCCGCGCGCCGCCGCGCCGCGCTGCGCCCGCCGCCGCTCGCCGCGCACGCGCACGGACACGCCCACGCGCACGCGCACGCGCACGCACACCCGCACCCGCCCCTGCTGCCTAGGATGTAAGTTGTTGATTGTCTACTTTAACTAACTTAAATAGTTTAATTCGATTATCTACAAAGTAATCCTGAAATATTAAAAAATAAGGTTCTTTTGTTCTATTGTAAAATATTAGCAAACACTGTAACAATTTGTAATATTCCAACTAGTCAAAGTTAAGTAGTTAGTGTTATGTGTGCCGGGGGCCCAACTTTAGTCCTTTTTCCTTCCTACACATTTTCTTTAAGAAGAGGATGGGAAGGGAACGGATGGAGGTGATGCATCGAACGGAGAAACATCCTCTTTATGTGCGTCTCCTTCGGCGATTAAGGGCGGGCAACGCATCCGATTTTGCGAGAGCAATGGTCGCTTCGCCATTTTGGCGGATTTAGGTGGTCACCCGCTCGTTTGCCACCTTATGAGAAAAAAGTCTAAATTTCGATCTGAGTATAATGACTTAATGTTAACATTTCTAGAACCGACACTTCGAAGCGTGAAGATAAGGGTGCCGACAGGGTAGACAAGCCAGAGAAATCAAAGCCGATAGCTCTCGCTGCACCTAAAACAATGCGCCGCTCCGCCAGCACCTCCGGACTCTCCCTTGTTATACATCCAGGTGGGTTTTTATATTTGACATTTAGAAAATTAATGAAGGATATGCGAAGGAAGGAGAAATATCCTCTTTTTATGTAGATAACTTGAAATCTCCGATTTCAATGAACATCTGTCGCTATTATAGCGAATTTAGTTGGCCTTATACTGGTTTACCACACTATAATTTTAAGTCCCTGTATAAGTAATTTTATATTTTAATACGTTACTTTAATTATCGTAGTTTTGATTATATTTAACGAAGTACAGTGTGGTATTCTCTTTTTCAATTTTTGCCACACGATTATGTTTTTTATTCCACTTGCATAAGGTTTATTATTGTGTTTCCAGCAGAGGAGGGCGGCGCGGGCGCTGGCGGGGGCGGGGCGGCGTCTCCGTGCGCCGGAAACACCTCCTCCACGAACTCTTCGCGAGACTCCTCCCCTTGTCGCGACCCGCCCTCTCCCTTCGCTATTGCTAATCACTCGTATGTATACACTGAAATTTTATTATTAAAATTATTTTTGTATATATATGTAGTATATGGCAATTAAAACGTCAGTGGTTCATTTGAATTGTAATCTACAGATCTTGGGTTCGAATCCCATGTACCAATGTAATTTTAGATTTTCATCTTAGTAAGAGTTAGTGTTTGTAAGAGTTTGTAGCCTGAACGGCTGAACGGATCTCGATGAAATTTGACATAGATGTAAAGTATGGTCTGGAAGAACACATAGGCTACTTAGTTTTTTTAATTCCACGCAGATGGAGTTGCGGGCCAAAACTAGTATGTACATTTACCCGACGTTCTTATAGTGAAGGAAAATATCGTAATGCCACCACATATAGATAAAAAATTTCACAGATATGTGTGAAATTTACTAGCAGTGCCGCAGCTTTGACTATAGTCTAGTCACCCTAACTTAGGGTACGCTCTGAGCCTATACTGAGCTTGTCATATGATGAAAAATACTTGATAAAATAAGGATATTAACAATTTTCTATCATTTGATTGAATTATCTTGTTACAGTCTGATCCAGTCTTCCAAGCCGCCGATAGTGGTGCGTCGTGGTCCGCGCGGCTTCGGCTTCACGATACACACCGTGAGAGTCTACTACGGGGACTCCGACTACTATACTATGCATCATCTCGTCTCTGTAAGTTTCTACTAGACTTCTATACAAGGTTTTACAGCCTTATAAATATATGCGGTACAAAGTTTAACTTAGGAATAAATTGAGTATAAGAAACATTTGTACTAATTTTTGCTTATACTCAGTTTGTTCTTAAGTTTAACTTTATATTGTTTGTGAGGCTGTAAGTGTTTAATTTTACTAATATTATAAATCAAGAACATCTAGACGCATCTCCGTGAAATTTGGCATAGATGTAGAGCATATTCTAGAAGAGGTTATGCTATTTTTATTCCACGCGGACGGAGCCGCGGCGAAAACTAGTTTGTTGATATATATGTACAAGTCATAAAATAATATAAAAACATTTAGTAGCCTATGTGTTCTTCCAGACTATTTTATATCTGTGACAAATTTCATCGAGATCTGTTAAGCCGACACGTAGTAAAAACATCCATCCATACAAACTTTCGCAGTTATAATATCAATATAATTAGGATAAGTTAGTAATAATTCCTTATTACCATTGAACAATATTGTAGACTCTCTTTTAATAAATAAAATAAATAAAATGAATAAAATAAAACACTCTTTATTGACAAAAAAAAATTAAAAGCACCTTTGTTCAAGAGAATGAAAGAGATAAAATATTAAGCGATTTTAAACCCTATTGGTCTAAACATAAGGTTTAATGTTAGGCGGTGAGTGAGCAAGGCGCGGCGTGGGCGGCCGGCCTGCGCGCGGGAGACCTCATCACACAGCTTAATGGAGAGTCCGTGCAGGGACTGCTGCATACACAGGTACGTTGGAATTTCAACCTTAAAACATAATGCATAAGGTTCATTTTAATTCACCATCAATTATAACAAAAGAGCTTAAAGTAAGATGTTTGCGAGACAAAATAACTATGGAAATTAATGTTTATTATATGTTTTTTTATTAGCTGTTGCTCGTGACTTTGCCCACGTAATAAAAAACTGGTAATAGTATAGCCTATGTTACTCACCAATAACGTATTTTTTTAATATGTGAAAGCATATTTGAAATTGGCTTAGTTACATTTCAATGAAAAATGCAAATATTTTTTTATATATTTTTTATAGGTGTTGAAGTTACTGTTGACTGCGCCTCATGCGACATTACGTGCGACGCCCCTAGACCAAACTACAATACAGGTAAGGAATAAAAATATACAATTAACTCTACCAGTCTTAGAAATAAACGTGGTATAAAGTAAACTGAGGAATAAACTGACTATATGCTTAATTTCTATACTATTATAATAAAGCGTAAACACACACTTTGTTGCCTAAGACGTCAGCAATTACAGCATATTTTTGAATAATGATTTTTTAAATAAAAAGCCCTACACTTACGTCACGCTTTAGGCTATATGTTTTCACGCCATTAAAATTAGGGGGTAAATATTTTGGATAAAATCCTAATGTGGGAAAGATACCATAAGTTGTTGCCAACATCAATGAAGTAAGAGTGTCAAGGTATGTCATGTCATCATTTTGACATTTGACATGTAAACAATAAAATAAAATTTTCATAATTTTATGCGGATGAAGTCGCATGGGAACAGCTAGTGTACTAACATTTGCTTATACTCAGTTTATTCCTAAGTGTTACTTTATACCGCGTTTATTTGTAAGGCTGTAAGTGTATAGCTTTCTGTAATGTTTCTGTAATACTAAGGGCATTACTGAAACGTCATTTAAACAGCGTTTTAAATGTTAAAGTCACGCTTAAATTACAAATTTTGACGGCCCTTACGAAGCGAAATATTTAAGATTAGTTTTTGTTGAAAATAAGAAATATAGGCTAGATTTTTCACAGATAACCTTTCTAATGTTGAATTTTTAAAATCGGCCCAGTACTTTTGAGTTATTTCCATATAGAAATAGAAATCTTTCCTCTTTATAATATTAGTATAGATATAGATTTTAATTAAGTATTTGGATATAACAGTCATTGTGTTGTGTAGGCGGGAGGGCGTCGCCGCGCGGGAGGGAGGCGGGCCTCCGCGCCGCCCCGCCCCCGGCCGCGCCGCCGCTGCTCGCTGTTCCGACGTATCTCCACCAAGCGAGCCTCGCAGGAGATGCACCAGGTATTTACATTAACGAAATCTGACTAATTTCATCGATCTAACGTTTCCTAAGCTTTTTTATAATAATTAGATACAGTTCGGTTTCCAAAAACATTGTCTTACGTAACCATTTCGTAAGTTTTTTTAATTTACCTTATTCGCACGCAACGCAACTTGAGACTGATACGTGAAAAAGTTTGCGCTATTTATTACTATTATCTATAGAAGCGAAGTTTTTCTGGTTGTAATGCCAACTTTTCTTACTAGAATAATGTGGGTTTTTGCGACTATTTTTTAGTCAGTTAACAATTCTAGAGCGATAGTCTTAAGTAAAATAATAATTTATGTTTGTATAAAGATGGTGACAGCGGCAGGTAGCGGAGAGTGTTCTTCGTCTCCGGCTGCATCGCCAGCCACCGACAGCCCGCTGCATGCCAACACGCACTATCAGAGGTCAGTTTTATTTCTTTGATAGCTCCTAGTAGCTATTGTTTGGAGTATAATGCTATTAAACATAGCCTATGTCACTCAGTGATAGTGTAGCTTTCTGATAGTGAAAGAATTTTTAAAATCGGTTCAGTAGTTTTTGAGTTTATTTGTAACAAACAAAGTCAAATTGAAAGCACCAATAGCTTAGTGTCTTGGGACAAGACTACCGGTTGTGGGTTTGAATTCCGGCATTAGATTACTATCATGAACTTATCCTAACACTAGCTTTTTCAAGATTACCTGGAATAGTTACAAAATTACGCCTTTAACATAGAGGGGAAAGCAGAAGTTATAGGTTACTATTTGCGGCCTATCTATCTATTTATCTATCGTTACCTCATTCTTGAGGGTCACAACCTCTCCTTGACCATCTCTCGTAGGGTATTCACTCTGCGATTCGCTGCGTTATGTATAGTGATATGCTTAGTAGTATCGATTGTGGTGATGGGACAGCCCTACCCCCTCTGCTAATAAAAAAAATACTAGTAAGATTAGTAAATATGAATTTGCAGGCCGTCGTCGTTGCACGGTCTGAAGCACAAGCTGGGGGCGGGGGAGGTGCGGCGCGCCTCGCTGCAGCACATGCCGCTCTCGCCCCTCGCGCGCACCCCCTCGCCCTCGCCGCAGCCCGCGCAGCAGCCGGCCTCCCCCACCAGGTAACATACCCTCGCTAGGTAAAAACTACCTTTTTTTGGTATGGGGGGGGGGGAATCTTCGAAAGATACCCTTATCTTTTTTATGTGAGATTTCTACTCACTAAAAAACCCCATCGGTGACCCCCCTTAGATGAGATTTGTGGGTCCAGGGATCTCCAATGGAACGCACAAGTACCGACTAGGGTAAAAACTACCTGACTACTAAAAGTTACTGAACAATTAGGTAACAAATAACTGACTATCGATGTTTCACAACGGGCACATCTTTGACTAAACTATCGCATCACAGTTGTGCGATTGTCGATTGTTTCGCAATTCAACTGTTTAGTTGCAATACTAAAAATCCAGTAGCGTACTTTTATATAAGCTCATAGGAATCAAAGCGAAACTAAACAGTTGTGCGATAGTTTAGTCAAAGGTGTTTACGCTCTTAATGTTCGGATCTAAAAAGAATTAAAAAAAAGGTTTTACATTGTGGTATATCATCTCTTGACTAATATGAATTAAATCGTTTCGCTTTAATCAGAATCACTGTTTAAACATTTGTTCGTATTTGTGTATACTTTGCATTGTGTTAACAAAACATTGTCATTGAAATGAACGAAACTTTACGTTACTACACTCTAATACAGCTACAAAAGGTAAGCCTGTCCCACCACTGGCTGATAGAGGCTCAGATACCTTAAAAATGACGTCACTGTCAGAAGAGCTAAAAATTTCGATATTTCTATCACATTTCTTAATGTTGGATTGTCATCAGACAATTTAAAGAATTTGATAGGACTGACTCTAAAGGTCTATCCCAACACCTGCTGATAGAGGCTAAGATAGGTTAAAAGTGATGTTACTGTCAGATCGAGTACCAAAATCCGATACTTCCGTCACATATTTCATACGTTGGATTGTTATCTGATAATTTACAAGGATTGTGGGACAGGCCCTAAGTAACGTAAAGTTTGGTATAAATGTCGCTGACTAACATCGGTGCGGGTGTAGCCGCTGCGAGGCGCGCAGCCCCTCCCCGCTGGCGGCGCGCGAGTGCGGCCGCCGCGCCTGGCCGCGCCGCGACCCCGCCTCGCCGCTGCTGCGCCGCGCACTCTCGCCCGACAGGTAACGCCCCCGACACGCCCCGCACACGTCCCCGGTACGCCCCACGATAAAACTGACACGCCCCAAATCTATGACTAAGTTTAAGGGCCGCCTATAATAAAACTAACACGCCCCGTGACACGCCCCACGACATACAAACTTCTCTTAGCTTCTCTTAGTGCTAGGACGACCTATTGTGTGACTACCATGTCCACCCCCCAAGTACACTGTGGGTTGGTTCAAAATTGAATGTAGCTATTGCGAAGGATAATATAGAATGTCTGGAAGTTTGTTTCTTTGAATCTACTCCATCTATATCAAAAGAAAACATAAATGTATTTAAAGATTTGGAAGTGTGATTTCACATTAGTTTTATTGTTTTTCGGTTTGCACTTACATCTCTAACTTTAACTTATGTGTATTCATTGTTTATGTTTTTTCACTTTCTTTTGTGTCGATTGCATGCTTTTTGTGACTGAGTAATATTTCATTATTGAATTTAGTCCATTAAATAACAATCTTTACAGTTCTCGTGCAGCATCCAGGAGATTATTCAATTTATTGTTATCCTATTTATAACTGTATACCATTTTTCAGATTACATCCGCGATCGGCTGAGGCGAAGTGCTCCATTTCGCCTCTCTGCTGTGGGGTGGGCGTGTCCGTGAGCAGCGGGGGCGGGGCGGGCGCGGGCAGGCGGGGCACGGGGTGGCGCGCGCCCGCCCCCGCCCCGCCCACACCCCCGCCCCCTGACAAACCTGATGAACCGCCATTGCCGAGGATCGCAGAGGAAAAAGACTCGCCTACACATCACGCTGGACATTCCAAACTACCCACTAGGTATCGTTAAATTGTGCTTTAATGTGTTTTTTTTTTTAATTTTTGTCTTTCTGTGCCAACAACCCATCGTAATTATCCTTTTGTAATTTGACTAGGCCGATTGTTATGTTTGTAAATTAACGTTACCAGGACCCCAGCAAAGCAGAGTACTCCAAGTATCTTCACGTCGTCACCTAAGAGTGTAGACAGAGGTGTGGCGGATGCGAATGCCTCTTTCGCGTCGCTTTCTCTCTCAGATGAATCGTTTATGGACACATCTATTGATACGTCTAATTTGGATACTTCTAGAGAAGTATTTTTGGGTAAGATACACTTTTAATTAATAATTTTAATAATGAACATCATATGTTATCCATAAAACTTGTCAAAATAATTTAAAAAATTACATAAACACTAATAAAATTTTGAGTTTGAACTTGAGGTGCTTTTTTCTTGAATTGCAGATGATAGCAGATCCAGTACAGAACCGAACGTAACAACAGATATAAGCAAAAAGACGACCACGACTTTCGAAACAATGCCATCTTCAAGTCAAACAGATCCTCACTCGAAGACCAGACAGACGCCAGAATCCAGCTCCAAAGAAGAAGACTTGAAGAAAGAAAAAAGCAAAACTAAAGAAAAATCAGAATTAAAGAAACAAGATTCAATAAAGAAAATGGAGATCTCAGAAGTAAAAGAAGATAAAACGCCAGAAGTTAAAATAGAGGAGAAACCAAAAGCAGAGAAACCGATGGAGAGAGTTGGATCTATGAAGAAATCGGAAAAGGCTGAGGCAAAGAAGGAGAAACAAGAAAAGGCGGAATTGAAGAAGCAAGAGAAGATAGAAGCAAAGAAGAATGAGTCCGCAAAAAAGCTAGAAGGTTTGAAGAAACAAGAATCTGTGGAGATCAATAAGGTAATGCGACTAATAATAATTAAACTGATTCGTCACAAACACTTTAAGAAGTTGAATTGTTAAGTGTATATATTATTTTTTACTAAATCACTACTGAAACAAGAAGGTAATTTCAAGCGGTGAAAGGCTTTTTAATATAAAAAGTGACCTACTGGTCGCCCACAGTTAAGCTAATCTTAAAATGCCAAAATTTATATATGTTACATATGTAGATAATAGTCTAGAAGAACTAAGGCTAAGTTTTGTTTTATATCTCTCGGACAAAGTCGCTGGCAAACACTAGTAAAGTTATTATTTTGTTTTGATTGTGATTCCTCTCTGTCCAGTCTCCGGAAGCTGTGGAGTGTGTGGTGGGCGTGGCGGCAGGTGGCGGGGGCGGGGCCGGGGGCGTGTCGGAGGCGGGGCGCGGCCGGAACAGCATGGTGAGCAAGCTGCTGGGCGTGATGGGCCGCAAGACGCCGCGCGACCGCGACGACGATGACCACCGCCCCGCCAAGAAACAGGACAAGCACGCCAAGAAGAAGGTGATAACATAATTTAGCTAAAGACGTGAATTTTTATTAGCAAAAATAGCCAGCTCTTGTAGTAAGTTGCCCTGTTACAGGGCCAATTTCGTCCCTATTTCATTATTATAAATTATTTAGTGTAGGCTAGGCTCAACCACACTATTCCAATTACATCCTAGATAAGAATGTCGTGTAACTGTACATATGAAATAAAAAAATTAAACTCATGAATACATGGCGGGATTCGAACCCAAGAACAGGTATTGATCAGATTATAAAGTGCTTAACCCCTGAGCAACCGATTGTCCAACGAAATTTAGAGGATATTTATATATTATTTAGAGGACATATTTTTTTTAGAGGAAATCTTAGGTATCGAAAATTACATTTATGGTTACCTAATTGAATTAACAAAATCAATACTTGAAGTAATTATGTAGGTAGTTTTCTAAATTAAGATACTTTAGGTCTTCATTTCCATATTCTCTACTGTCTGTGAGCAAGCTGGAATTCTAGACCATTACATTTATGTAAAATCTAAGGAATCTATTGAATTTTACAGGGTCAAAATAACCCTCCAATCCCACAAGTTGTGGTCGCGTTGCCTCCTAAACCGAACGAACCCGCGCCCGAGCGAGCATGCGAGAAGACTGACATCGTAGAAGACAAGAAGACGAAGAAGGGGCGTGGCCGCGCGTCCAGCTCCTCCTCCGGCGAGAAATGAACCAATAAACAACAAGGGGCGTGGCCTCGTGAGTAACGCCTCCATCGATATTTATACTATTTTCGACTTTTATATAAAACAACTTCGACTTTGAAATTCAATGTACTGAATATTACACCTTATGTCTTTCGTTTAAGGTCGTAATTAGCAAATCCGACGAACCAAAGATCTACCTATAACATCAGATTGAGAACAAAATCAGCATTTGTCTCCCTCTTTTTAAAACCACCAAGAATATTTTTACAAAGTCATTCACTAAGTCGTTCACTAATTCATTCATTCTCTTGTTACTAAACATAATTCCATCGAGTTATTGAGTAATTTCTTAATATTGTCAAGGAAGTGAAAATTCTCGCCTTAAAATAACTATAATAAGGCGAGAGTATTTTATAATATGAGTGTATTCTTTATAAACGGCCAAATACTGAAACGAATTTTAAATACTTCGTAAGCGCTTACAATCTGACTGAGGTCAAAAAAGTATTTGCAGTTAAAACGTAGCTCTATCGCTTTAGACGCTTTGAATTATTTCAGTATTCGGCCGTAAATGTCTTCATAATCAAATTAATATTAGTAATTCGTCTGTAATGTGACAGATTCTATTTTTACTACTATATGTGTCTACGATTTTATTAGGGCACAGTGCGACAAATTTATCTGGCCCGGTAGATGATACTAAATTGTTCGTTTTGTTTTCTGTAATATAGACCGACAAATTTGTCTGACCCGGTGTCAGTGAAAGTTACTTTAGCACACTAGCGCCCCCTCTGTGTCATAAATTGTTTGGCGGACTGTGGCTAATTAATTCTTTGTCTGTTTTTGTGTGTGTCAAATTCTACGACTGTTTTTTTCTGGCAAAGGTAATCGCGATAACAGCGCCATCTATGGGCCAAATAAGTTTGTACCACTATAAGCAATTTTTTCTACTAAATGTCTTCGGTGTTGTATAGGAATGTAATGTTAGCTTTTTTTAGACTATACTTAGTGTTTAGAAGAACTGTAACTATTTTCAGCTGATCTCTTAATGATTTTGAGGTTATAAATGTCTAACAGATTAAAAAATATAATAATGCTGTTGGTTACGTGAAAAATTAGTACCAAAATTTAAAAAAATCTATGTATATTGTCTACATTTAAAGAATTGTCTACAAGTCGTGATGAAAACCAAAATGAACGTTATAAAAAGCTAGCTTTTTCTCTAATAGACAGAAAAAGATATCGGACTCGGTATTAACTAAATTATGACAGCCCATTAAAGCCGCTGTTAATTAAAAAAAATCACAAAAGCGTAGGTATTTTGTCATTTTTACGTCATTTTTAATGTCCGTTTACATACTACAGAACTAACAGCAACGACACACCGGATCAGATATCCTTGTTTGACTATACTAAAGATGGCAGATGTGACGTATTGCGTTCTGATTGGTTAGTGTACACACGTCATCGTGACGTATTGATTTCCTATTGGTTTGTTATGTTAATGTGTTCGCTGATTGGCTATTTGGATTTATTAGTAAATTGTGAAATTGTATAAGCTTAAAAAGTACGCTACGGCTGAGTAATTACTGTTCATTGTTAAATTTTGTTACTCAACATGTTTTTCTGCAGTGGAAACAAATCTTATGACATGTTTTTGAATTATTGAGGCTTTGTATAGTATGAAATGTTTATCAATTTAACTGCAGATTTGCCTAGAAATTTCATTCTTACAAAAACTAGCATTGAAAGTGTTTAACTTTTATAAATTGTTTTATTTTCCAGTATTATTGTTGAGGCGTAAAGGTTATTTTTTCTAAAAAAATTCTAAGAATTACACGCTTTTTGTATTAATTTTTCGCGAATTTCTCGTATCCTTTAGATTTAGGAACATTGTGTGATATTTTAATTCATACCTATTATATAAAATTTAGGTTGTGTTTTTTCATTTCTTATTTTCATTGTTCTATACTTGTATATATTTTTATTAACATTTCATCGACCCATAACTGTGCCATAATTAAAAACATTGCCTTTTACTTTTTTTGAGGTCTTTCTGTACTGCCAGTAATAAAATCCGAAAATTCCATCTCTTTAGTATGAATAAAAAAATTCCTGGCCTCGGCTTCAATTTCCTTTTAAATTGATTATTTTTTTTCGTAATATGCAAACATTTTTTTACCAGGCCAAGGTCAATTTTTTTAACAAAAATGATAAAACCGTGATTTTACGAACCATTGTTCTTAACATCTGATGCCGATGATTTCTTTGTCTCTAACACTTTTTATAAATAATTAAATAAGTTTTTAATCTGTTATTTTGATTTTTTTTTTTATAATTTGTCTTCCATAATTGTTTTTAATTCGTTTAATTGTTAAACATTTTTAATTTCATATTCTTAGTTTCTGTTCAAGACCTCTTTTTAATACTTCTGTTGTTTATGGCCGAATTTTACTTAGAGTAAAATGTTATTGTCTATAGTTAAACGTCTTGTCTATTCTTGTTTAATTACAAGAATCAATAAGGTGTTTAAAAGTCGAATATTTTTGCGTTTATTGAATTTTAAGTTACTTTTATATGCTTTGTATTCTTTAAATGTAATATTGTATTTCTAATCGGAATGTATACATTTTAATTAGTATGTATTTTTCATTTTTTGTTGTATCTTTTGTGCTTTTCTAATCTGTTTTATCTTTTTTATGTTTAAAGTTGTGAATACTCAATGGTTGAATGAATGTAAATTGCCTGCAAAATGTGTTTTCAGATTTTCACGCATGGTAACACAGGGTAATGATAAAAAGTTTTTATTTACCCGATTGTATATTTATTAATTAATTTTATTGAGATGTATTTGCTATATTTGTAATTTACTTTTCGCGTAAGAATGACCAACAGAGACGATGAATTTTCTTAGCTCTGTGCATAATAAAATTGTTTTTCGGGACCATAGCTTTGAATTATTATAGATTTTGTTATTCTCAGCTTAAATCTAAGTTTAGATTGTGTACTAGTAGATTGGCAAATGTAATTTTTTTTTCTGTAAAGTTACTGAAGAATGAGTTTTTTTTATATGTTTAATTTCTCTGATAAATAAAATCTGCAAGTTTAGTAATGTATGTTTTTGTAGCTTTTATTGCGTTACAGTTTATACTTAACTGCCAATCTGTTAGTGTATTTAATCTATGTAACAGAGCGGGACAGTTCCCATTATGCTCAAAGATTAAATTGTAATAAGGTAAGTTAGGTAAAAAAATAATCGTTGCTCTAGATTCGTTTCGTCGCATCTCATAAGCTTTACTTGTAGTATTATTTGAATGTTTCTCTTTGCCAGCCATAAATGTTGTAATTTTTAATAATTGTATGACTAGATATAATTTAAATGTGATTTTATGTATAATGTCGAACGAGGGTGTATCGTCTCTAGATGTAATTGTGTACGAATCGATACCGATACGAAATAAACTTTTGAAACAACTATACTAGTGTTTTTCTTTACTTTTACCCCGACTTCCAGAAAACAAACGAATAGAGAACCATCTCTTGGATTCTTGTCTTTTTTTCTATTTTTGGTACCGCATATCTCAGTACCTGAATGTCCGAATGTCAACTTTTTTTAGACCACGTCTGGAGCGTTTAATTTGCTACCATTTTTTCCAAAATTAAAATCCATCTAGTAGTTTTTCAGTAAATTGCAATAAAGCATGTCGATAAGGCTGTTAAAGTTAGGACTTGTTGCTTTTAAGGCTCACGAAGCCTAAACTATACACGTTTACTGCGGCAAGTAAAATATTTCTTCATCTGGTGCGCGGCGGGCCAATACGCCCCCAATTACATTTCCGCCAATGCGTGGCAGGTCTTTTTAGACCAGATTAAGTACCTCGTTAGGCCGATATCGGCCTGTTACGCAGTGAGCGTGTTAAATTTATTAAATTCATTTATCTATGCCGTAGGGTTGTCGCACAATAACCACTTTTTCTTCAGAAATATCAATGTTTACCTCACTTACAACGCATCATCCAGAGAATTTAATATAGATTATAAATTCCTTTTGAACAATATTATTCTTAATAATTTAGGAAATATCAAATGAATAAAATTTGTCAGTCGCAGAAAAATTAAACAACTTTAGACAAAGTTACACATAATTTTACTTTCTCAACTACGTAGCCTAAACTATAAGATCTTCAGATAATATATAAAAAAAAGGCTTTAATTCAAGATGGATTGGAATAGGTTTTCAAATAAAAAGACCACGTATTTTCAAAATTTTATTGATGTGTTCATTTTTGATGTAACAAACTGAAAATCAACACGCTCTATCGAATCCGTAGCAAAGCTAATGACGTCACAATCCGGACTAACAGGCAGAACGTTCGGGCCACGAAATGAACCAGAGAATTTGTGCGCGGAAAAACAATATTATAGGATAATAGAAACACAATGGACGAATTTGGTTTAAAGACAGCAAATTAAAACAACACTTAGATTTATTTGAAACCTTTTTTAAATAATTTACGCTCAAAATGAGGAATTATACGTAATGGAACGCAACAAGAGATTTACTAGTGTACTTTTTTCCCGATAAAGGCGCTGCTCAAATCTATTACCAATGCTCTCGTAAATCGTGGTAACGCTTAGAAGTATGTTTTCAAGTTTTGTTGTACCAGTAAAAAAGGTTTCAAATAATCTTTGTAAAAACAATCCCAGTTCGCTTCATAAACAGTAATTACGCAATTATTCAATACAATATAACCTTAAAACTCAAGACATCAAATTACTTTAGGATTACAATTTCACAAGATTACTCAATTGGGGAAGGTTTCTTAGAAAACACGCTAAGTGATTGCTACAAAATTACACAAATACTTACAAACTATAATAAGATGCAAACTTTATGCCGGCTCGGTTGTTAGTTACGTCGATGTGAACTCGGTATTCGCTTCAATAAGCAGCTTAATATACCCCATATTCCAAAACTGTGTTCTGACTCGTGCGAATGTTTCGAACGTCAAGATGTTTGGAATCAAAAAATACTTATGTTCTTGCAATTTTAAAATTCAGAGCCGCCATAAAGTTTGAATGGAAAATTAGCAAGATACATGTCCATACAAGTGTTAAAGTAAACAATTCGGCCATTCGAACATTATGTGTTATTATAAATCCAGGATAAACTTTGTACAGTGAAATTGAAAAGAAAAAAAACATTAGCTATTAGTATAGGATACTTTTAAATGTTTAAAACAAAAATAATTTCTGTTGCAAAATTTTCAAGCTATAGTGGAATGTGGAGTAAAAGAAAATATAAAAATAATTTTGGATTACTCTTGTTTCACGGAAAACTTCACTGAACATAGTTTACACTGCATTTTTACAATGAGACATACCTTACCCTGTCACTACGGAATCTCATACAATATTGTTACATTAAATAATTATTTACTTTAGGAACAACGTTCAATAAATTGTTGTGGTAAACGTAACACTTACATAATAAAACATAAATAATGATCATTTAAGATCTGAAAGTTTAAAATAATGGGATAATTATTTTACTGACGTTACTTCGTCTTGTGAGAGAGATTCGAACATGTCTTTGGATTGTCTTCGACCTTTCTTACGTTTTTTTGTAACATTTTCATTAAGAGCTTCACGACACATTACGCGCAGACTTTTTAACATAGTATCATTGGTACGATTTAAAACAAATTCGGATGAAAAACACGAGAAAAGCGAAGTCGAAATCTTTAAGTCCATCTCTACGATGTTATTAACGTCGCTTTGTAGTGGGACATTTTTCAATTGTGAACGTACGCTACGTTTGTCGTTTGACTTTTTACTTTCGATAATTTCGTGGCATTTCTTTACAGACGTAATAAAATCGTAATAACCTTCAATTTTCACGACGCACTTGTAACAAATCGTATTAGGATAATCTGTTTCTTTTATCGTAATATTTAAGCAGGCGAATATTTTCTCCAACATATTAATTTTTCGACAGAAACTACCGAACAGCGATACATTAAAATCGCTATCAGATAAACAAAAGCGACAAAAATATCGCAATGTTTCCATTATAGTTAATATCAAGCTAATTTTAGTTATAAATGTAGTATAATAAATCTAACTCGTGTAAATTTCGCGCTAAAACGTTACACAGATTATGGCATCTGTGATTTGTTTTCTACAGATAAAAAATATTGAAGCTCTACTTTTTTAAAAATCGTTATTTTACGGAAAAAGGAAGGAGCGTAATTATTAAATACCGGTTTGCAAAAAATACTATTTTGGACGGCTCAGTTGTGTCATCTAAGTATACAATGCCTTGTTGATTTTATTTGTATCCAAAATATAAATTATCAAACCGTCGTACGTATTCAAAGGATTTTTAGTTCAATTATTTATAGTCCGTTATATTTAAAAGCATTAATTTTAGTAGCTTTGGTAAATATAAATGAAAAATATTAATATTCAATTGAATTTAAAATTTAGATAACATTAAAAATTCCTTAACTTTTGGTAAAAACATTGCGAATTATTAATTATGATTTTAGAATATAAAAAAAAACATACAGACGAATTGAGTACCTCCTTCTTTAGGGAAGTCGGTCAAAAATATAGAAAAAAAACTAGTAAATGAATAATATGACAGCAAATATGTAAATAAAATAAACCACCAATAGGTTCATGTAAAATGACTGCCTGCGAAATATAATTACATAAATAACGAATATATACTTAATATTAAATGAATGAAGGTTGCAAGATCTTATCTATATTCGATACAGATTGTCTTAAAGCAAATAAAATTAATTCTAAGAAAAAAAATCACATAACCAACCTATTCCTTTACATGTGTTCTACTTTATTAAGCCACCACACTCCTGTTCAAGACTCATGTATTTTGGGCAACATTAAATAAATACAACTCATCGTATAACGTTGTGAAGCAAGCTCTAGTTTAAATACCGCGAAACAGTCGAAAATTGTGACATTTTGAAAACAAACGTGAAACGGAACGCGTTTTGTCTGTGGTACTTTTATTCCAAAGTTTTGACTTTTAGTGGTGTTGCTAGCTAAAATTATTTTCAACTGTCACAATTCATCGATTTATTAAACGGATCAGACTAAACAGTGTCTTCCTCTTTCTTGCCCCAGAATTTATCGAATCTATTGCGAGCTCTATCAAGCACCTCGGCCGCAGTCAACCCGCCTGTGTTAGGCTCATTGACAACCGTGGTATCGACCACACCGGGTGCTTTCTGAGTCGCTTCAGTCGATTTCTTCACGACCTCTTTTTCTTTTATAGTTTCCTTTACTGGAGTTTCAGGAGTCAATTGATTACTATCGATACCGTTTATACCGTTAACTTTATTCATATCTAAAGCCTTCGTCTCGTCTATAGGAGTGAGGCTGATCGGTGTTGTGGGAGTTTTGTCAGTCCGCTTGCTGAGACTCGTTGGAGATTCGCTCTTTTTCAGCGATCGTATCGGTGACATTTGCTGATGGTGTATCGGAGCGATTTCTGTAACAGTTGTTATATTTATTTCAAAAGTTTTTGAGGTTAATTTTTAAAGAAATAAAAATAGATTAGAATATCTATATTTTTTTCTGAACAAACGCTAAACATACACAACGTAGATACACAAGAATTTAGATATATTTCAACACACATCCAATAAGCACAGATATGCAACATCAATTTTCTTAATAATTTAAGAGAATAAAAGCCGTATATATTCGTTACTATACAAGTAATTCAACCAATTACTCCAAATTTTTTTAACAACTAAAAAAGGAATCTTAAATTATTTAGGGAAGTTTGAATAAGTTTTTGGATTAAATTATTTGATTGAAAACCGATTTTGTTGTGTGAACTAATTACGATAATATTCACAGTCGAAACATTGGTCCAAAAAATTTTATTATTTTTTTTTCAGATATAATATGAGATATGACTGCCAGCTTATAAAAGTGGTAGCTTACAGTAGTAGTGAAATTATGTTTAAAATTGATAAATCTTAGTGGTAATTATATATTTTTAATTTACCTTTTTATAATTAGTAACAAATATATACGATTTGGATTTTTCTTTTAATTTTGTTAATTATATTTTTTTGTTTCGTAAAAGATAGTACTTACTTCCGTTATTTTTTGATTAACTGTCTGTATATTTCCATTTTCGAATTTCATTTTCTAAATTATAATATTCACATTTCTAGAATTATACAATAACTTTGTGTCATCTTTATTGGGTATGCAAGCTATTCTATAGGATTCTAGTCATTTCGTTCTTTAATATAATTGAACGTCTACTTTGTGACGGAAAAAAACATTTAAAATTTTTGCATAAAATACTAAACTATTAAAAACTTTAACTTTGCCTTTACATGCTGGTATAAACATCCTAAGCTAAATGTTATTAATATTTTTTCTTATTTTTGCCGATATTCATGCGATTATGTTAATGATTTATGTTATGACACCTGAGGATTACTATGAGAAGTCATAAGGGGTTAGCGAAGAAGCCAGCCTATAGTAACAGCATAGAAATGAGTCCGAGGAGCCGCCGTCGGTTACTGTCGGCAACCATCGGTAAGCTTCGGTAACTGTCGGTTACTGTCGGCAACTATCGGAAACCTTCGGTAACTGTCAGCAGCTCCTCGTCGAGATCGATAGGACAGGCATGCACGAACGATTTATGACATGGATAGAGGTTATATCAAGTGCCATACAGTGAGAGTGCGCGCAAACATCGAAAGAGACACACACACAGTCAAGTGAATACATACGTGACGTCGACGTCTCAGCGGAGTACGGTCAAAATAAAAAAGCATCTCAATTATTGGATTAACACAATTTAATCATGAACTATTCAATAGATATAATATAAAACACATTTATATAATCTGGTGTCGATCGTGTGTCGCGACAGTGAATTCTAAATATCGACTTTAAGTCAACGTGTTAGAGTTCATTGTCGCACTGGCGTCTGTCACACTCATTAAAACGTGTATGGCCGATGGTCTACGCGGTGGCGATGTTCGTCGTACCTGCCGGCTTCACGGATGGCACCTCTTCGGCCACGGAGCCAGCCTTAAACTCAGAGCTAGGGCGCTTTACGCTCTCATCTGAAATATGGTGAGTGATTTGTATGGCTTGGATGAAGTGAGAACACACGCTACAAACTACGACCACAAAATAAATCTTTAGAACCGAACACACTGGAAATGAAACATTATGACGAAAGAGACAATACAGATATGTCATGCCGTCCCTTTCTAATCAAAGAGAAAGAGCTCATAACTGTATCGCATTTCGCTTCGTCGAATTTCGTTTAATTCATACCATTTCCAGTATTACTCGATATAAGGCACTACGTGAATAGACTCAAAGTTCACATGAAAAATCAAATTATATTGTAAATAATAATTAAGGTTTGAAGTAATTTTTAAATTAATTAAAAACGGAAAATAAACGAGAACGCAACAACAATGATGCGAAAACAAAATGGATGATAGAAAATTATTTTAATGAGTGTTTTATTAACAGTTTTAACATCGTGTTCCGCTGTACTCTGCGCATGATTTTATTGTGTTTTGTTTTTCGTGTCAGTGTTGCAAGCCTTCTACGTACTCTAGTGTGGGGTTGCTATACACACGTTGGTAGAAAATGGTAGAATGAGTGTTATGGATCTGCTAACTGTCAATGACATGGCAGTGTGATGGCTTTGATTTTTTTTCGAATTAAATCATCGGTATCAAGAGTTGACAGGTTTTTTTTAATTAAAAAACGTTTATTAATCAACTGTGGATACTGAAGTAACATTGGAACTCCTACACGAACTATAGACATTATTCTTACCGATTAATGTACTATTAAGAGTATCTTGATCATAGACCGCCATTTTGTTTTTTATTTTGTCTTCAAAAGTTATTAACTTGTTACACTGCGAGTTACTTTTGTCATTCATGTATGAAAAATTGTACAAATATTACAAACAAATGTTTACTAAACACTATATAATTTTCACGCTCTTTGGCATAACCTATAAACTAGATTCGGTTAAATACAAAATTACACATAAATATAAATAGTATGATTAGATATTAAAATCATGTTACTATATTCCAACAAATAATTGAATTTATATATAAAATTATTAAACCATTAAATAAAAATATAAATAAGAAACCCATAGACAGTGAAACCATTACCATAAAGTGTAATGAAAAAGATACTCTTTTAGTGAAACTAATTTTACGATGTAACTTACAAAATATTCTTAACCCAACAGGAATGCAAAATATCTTACATTAACAATATATTAAATTTAAAAAACAACGTATGCGTAAAACGCAGTTTCACAGATTATGAAACTAACTTAACCTAAAAATATTTGCCGCCAATCTGGCAAGGAGATTGGACTCACCGCTTTTGACGTTTTGCGTGACGGTGAACGTCTTGCCGGTGTCGAGAGGCACGGTCCAGTTGACAGGGTCCGGGGAGCGCATGTTCAACTGCTCCGGGGACTTCACGCGGGTCGGCTCCGGTGGAGACTTCACTACGGGCGAGTCGTCGAAGAAGTGGTCCTTTGCGACGGACGCGCTGCGGTGAGCGGGAACGTCATCGTCTGGAAGTCAGGTTGGTAGATAGGTTAATATAAATAAAAAAAAAACAAATCAACAAGTTTCTTTGAAACCTACACTTTTGTTCTCTTTTTAAATTATCATAGATCATGTAATCCAGATTGGATTGACGGTAAAAAAAGGACAAATTACTCAAAGGGTTAAAATGATAGTGGCTACCTCTAACAATTTCCGAAACAGGCAACATCAATAAGGAAGTTCTACGTTCACGGAAATAGGCGTTGGTTTATTCTTAGACCCTTATTAGAATTTGTTTTAAATATATAAAAATTCAAATAATGGCGCTAAGAATTACATGCAAAATAAAATCTAAACAGAGTTCATGTGATCTATTCTAAACCTTTTCTAATCATGCTAGTTCAAACTTTTTAACAATTGTGCTACATGTAAGTATAGTATTGTAGAAGTCGATGACAGAGATTTTACGCTAAAACAATAGTTCACTTAATAATAATCTAGAAGGAGAAGACTACCGTCCATTTAAAAAGTGTAAGATATCATGTCACTTCTGTAAATAGTTTTAACATCTTTGTTATTCCAAAATCATGTAGAAAAGATAAACATTTTACCTAAAGACACCCCCGAAATAGTTAAACATAAGATATTTGAAATTTAAAACTAGAAAGTTTCCCGCACAAAGTGTGAAGTTTTCACATTGAAATTTTGTGTTTGAGTGCAAATATTTGTGTACCACACGTACAAGACGAACAGCCACTCTTGTGTCTAAGCCATATCCAATGTGAGCCAATGCGCTTTCTGTGACATTAAGTTGCGTAGACGCACTGACAAATTAAAAATACAACAAAACTCTTAAATTAAAACACTTAAAGCTTTTAGAAGCTTTGCGGTGATATTCTGAAAGAAAAATATAAAAACCACGACCATAGAGAATCACAAAAGCGTCACAGACACAAAATTAATAAAGCTGGCTCGGTGACGTTTATGCCTTTGCTAAAAAAAAGAAACAGCGCGTCGACGCAACTGTCACCTGTCAGCCTCGTACGCACCCAATTTAATGCCCACTTTCGAAATGCTGCGACTGCGTCGTCCCCGGCTGGGTGTCTCAATTGCCCCATTTGTCCCATTTATTGCCCCAGCTTTGCTCGGCGCCGAGGGCGACCGTCCACCCCTCGATGTCGACCTAACTCTATTATTACCCAACGGCAAACCTACAGAAGAAATGTTGCCACTCTAAAATTAACATTTAATACTTTCAGAACTACACAAGCAAGGGTCAAACATTTTTAAGAAACAACACATTTAAGACAAATAGGTTGCAGGACAGAGTACAATAACAGTTAAAAACATTATAAATTAAGTCACTAATGCTAACATTAGGCATAACCACTACATTAAAGTCTATTAAATTTCAAATATGAAGTAGTCATGAAATTATGAAATTACTAAATTTTGAAGGCATTTCAATTTTATAAAGATGAGTCATATTTTGAAGTTATAATCCATGCAATGAATTTACGAACATAATGATTTATCTAGACATTTCTGCACAGTCTTGGTTTGCCTAGTTTTTGTGGTAACTTGTTGCTCAGTAATATGGCAATACCATCTATGGTCAGAGAATGTTTGCACAATCTGTACCTTGTGGCTTGTGCGGGCGCGGCTCGTAGTGCGGTGCGCGGGCGACGGGCGCGGGGTCGGCGGAGCGCGGCCGCCGGCGCGGCGACCTGAACGACTCCGTTTTAGCGCCTAAAAAGTCAAGTAAATAAGTTATAAATTTAAAGATTTTCCGTTCTTATTCTTCTGTTTATATAAGTTACCTTCTTGAGTAGCACCTTCGTCGAAGCTATGGCCCTGCAGCTTCTTCCGCTGCTTCTGGGGCGATGTCTTATGAGGAGACCTCTCCAGGGCCTTAGTCTCCTGCAATTTAGCGTGAATGGACTGATGCGGTGCTGAGCGGAACGACCTGAACTTCTTGGGAGAGTGGTTCCTTGACTCCTTGCCGTCTTTCTCATCGCGAGGGAGAGCTCTGGAAGAAATTTATTGAACATTTTATTTGCATTTTACTATAAAATAAGGTTAAGGTTTTAATTTTTCGGAGGTATCATAACCGGAGATAGGAGCTACTTGTTCTATATATTATTAAATACTGCATACATGCTAGTCATAGCTCGTATATTTAGCCTGCGTGGGATACATTTACCTTCATCTAATTAAGCTGATGATCGCTAATCTACAACAAATGGCTTTATTTTGCACCACAAGCCATTCTGCTAGCATCAGCCTCAATGCTAATTCGTCTTAAGATAGTGTCAAGTGAACCAATCCATAAAGAGACGTCTCTGAATAGAAATATATTCGGTATAAAAGTTGGTCCTTCGAGCCGGTCAGACGGTTCACTTGATAGAATAACCGAGTGCACTTACTTGTGACTGGTGGAAGCTAGTGATAGGGCAGACAGCGAGGACCGGCGGGAGACTTGATACCAGAGCTCGATTTGCTTATTGTAAAGCTGAGTGATGTGTTCAGGAGCTAGTTCGGTTCCCCAGCCGCGATACTGTCGAATTAATGCTCACTTTGTTATGACTGAAGCGTGATCGCTTTGTGTCATCTGCCAAACCATAGATATAACAAAAGTGAATCCACAAACGGGTTTAACTTGACTTTTGACAGATGTCACAGATAGCTTTATTGCGGCAGATGTGTGCAATGGTATCAGTGACGGTTTTAGTGAGTTTTGGAATATTATTTAAAACTTATTAGACCTCACACTACATTTATTGAATCAACAATGTTGAGAAACAATAGTACGTTTATATTTCAGAAGAAGTGTAGGACTAATCGGAGGGTTGAGTTGAGATATAGATGTTGAGATGTCAATCCGCAGACCTTGTACTCGCCGGCTCGCTTGCGCAGGTCCAGCACCTCGCGGTACCAGGAGTCACCCTGCGCGAGGCCGAGCGGCTGCAGGCCAGCGGCGCGCAGCGTGTTGGCGCTGTCCTCGGCGGCGGCGGCGCTCAGCCCCGCGCTGCTTTTGCCCCCCCGCGCCCCGGCCCCTGCCCCCGCCCCCGCCACGGGCTCTGCCCCCGCCCCCGGCCCCGGCCCCCCGCTCTCGCTCGCCTCTACCACCAACCTCTCGCTCGCTTCCTCATTCGACTTCCCTTTCCCCCTGCATTTCGTAAACGTCCCTTTAGATGCCTCGTACACGTACTGAGAGAACGGTCTAAATTTCTTTTTGTACTCGCTTTTGTAACGTTTCCTATTATCTTTGGAACGATCCTCCCCGTTGTATATGAGGGCCGATAGCGCGCTACGGAACGTCGATTTTCTGCAAAATTTCAGTTCACAGTCTTAGAACGCTCGTGAGCCTCCGACGATGAAATGCGGCAAAACAAAGAGCTCGCCCGAGCTCGAGCTGGGTTAGTAAGGTAGACATGCTTTAAATAATCTGAAGCACGCAATGGTGAGGTTAGGATGTTAGTCCTGAAAGAGACGGACGGAGGGACGCGGGCGGCGAGGGCCGCGCGGGTCGGAAGTGTTGGTGAGACAGCGACAACAATCTAAGTAGGTCTGATGACAAACACATCGACAAGGTGCAGGACACATTGATTATTAAAAAGTTAAACTATTAGCTTTCATTCCGAACTAATTTGTATCGACTAAACTACTCGGCCTAGACACCGCCACCGTGATCAAAATTTAGATTGAAGCAAATATCAAAAACGAAATTTAGACTTGTTCTGCTGTTCCCAGTATGATGTGAAGGTTACATGTGATAGGGGCAGAACAGGAGCGTGAAGGAAACTCTTATCAAAGCAACAAATACATAGATGAATGGATTTGTGAGAAGACTGTAGCTGAGATATATAGATCTAATAAAAATTACAAGAAAAAGGGTAGACGTCTTGCTAGAATTTGGATAATGTGTAAATGAAAGGAATGTAAATACTTTGACGCTAGTAATCAAAACTGCGACAAAAACTGTATTCAACCTTGTCGTTAATGTTGTTGTCCGACATGTGAAGGTTACAAGGAAATTGGCAATGTCAAAGTATTAGATTTATTTGCCAAAATCACGATTCCGCATAAAATGCGATTTGGCGTCGGTCATTTCGTTTATTGTCTATGGCTACATAGAATTTGTATGGGTTTAGATAAAAGGTTCCTTCATCGCAAGAAAAGTACACAAAGCTAGACATAGATATTAAAAGCTAGCAGTGATAACCGTAGACATTCTAGTTTTCTTTCACCTGAAAAAGTTTTTTTCATCTAATAAAATTAAAAACCAACAAATACATACATATACTAAACTTCATTAAAAATGTAAAAATATAAAATAGGAAATATCCGGAATTTAACGGGTTTTATATTCTATAATTATTGTTTATGGTTTTTCATGTGTCGTTTGTGTCAAAATAGTTTTTTGAAGTGTCAAAATTAATACCTGTGTTTTTAAATGGGCGCGAAAAAGCTTTATAGCTGAAGCGAAGCGTTCTTGACGCTAGATGAGAAATGATTTTTTTTCTTTTACGATGTCTGTAGACTTTTGTGTCATAGTTTTGTATATAACTAATACTGAAGTGCATGCTAAAATGATAAGCAAAAGTTTAAAAAATATTTTTAATACTATAACTGTAAATAAATAAAATAAAAAATAAAGTTTTTAATGGTTAAGCATTGAATGAAGTGGTTAAGCTAAAGCCGATTTTTAGAGTCTTTTCGCAAATTAATGCAAAAAGATTCTATAAAATCAGTTTTTTTATTTAAAATCAATATTATTGTCCAATTCAATTAAACTATATACAAGTTTTAATATTATAATTGAAATGGACAAATGAATTATTGTGAAATACAAACGTACCTCTGGACTCCAGGCTTTTGGCCGTTCCACAGATAATCTTCAATGTATCGTTTCTGTCTGTGGTCATCATGGTCACCGTCCACGTGGTTCATCAGAGGTTCAGCTTCGACTGATCCTGAAAGTTATTTCTACTTAATATACTTATTTATATATTAAAGCTGATTAAGTGATAATATTTATCTCAATTGTAGACTTCTTTGGGATTATTTGACAAAATTACGCTCTTCCTTTATAGTTGCATATCCCAATATTACTAATACTGGCTTCGCCCGCGACTTTATCCGCGTGTTATTAAAAAAAACCAAAAGTGAGTAACCTACGTGTTCCTCCAGACTGTGCTTCATGTCTATTCCAAATTTTATCGAAATCCATTCAGCTGTTTAGGATACAAACTCTAACAAACATTCGTCCATCTAAACTTTCGCATTTATATTATTAGTAAGAAATAAGATTGGTTAGGTTATTTTACGTAAATGTTTAACTGGTTGAGAACTATTTAACCTAATTTTAGGCCTTTAATTTGAATATCGAATTGAGAACGGACGCGACATTTGAGGTTAGGTTACGTTTGTAATTCGGTAAATTGAGACTACATAAGAGGGGTTAATGCATAATGTAGCACAGAAATAATTCTAGAAGGATCTTTTTTCATAAATTCTACATCGTAATTTTAAAATTAGAATGTAAAAGCATGAGAAATATCTAAATGTCAAATGTCAGAAGTCAGGAATCATAGACAATTAGAGAGTTGATTATTTAGTCTATGCAAACGTTACACAAATAACTCGGGATAATGTATTCAAGAAGATTTGAGCATCTCTTCACAACTAATTTGAATACTCAGCGGAGGATTTCAGCTGAGAAGTGGCAGATTGTTTCTAAACTGCTTGCTCGGCAATCTACCGAAAGCAGAAGTAATTTACAAATAAATCCCTCACTGTCTGACTCCATCTATATCTACTTATAGTTTATAGTCTATACTATTATAATAAAGAGTAAACACAAACTTCTTTGTTGCCTAAGATGTCAGCAATCACAGCATATTTTTGAATAGTTCTTTTTTTAATAAAAACCCTACACTTACCTACCTACCCTACACTTTAGGTTATATATTCACGCTATTAAACTCAAGGAGTAAACAAATTTAAAAAAAAAACCCTCACTTGGGAAAGGACTATAAACTACAAGCTGCCAACATTAAGGAAGCAAAGTTATTTTGACATTTGCAATTGAGAATTTTGCAAATGTAAATATTAAACCGCACGGATAGAGCTAATAAATAAAATATAAAAAATAATGATGTCTATTGTTGAAAATAAAAGTAGTAAAAAACAATTATCACCCGAGAATATCACTATTTCGTTTTAACAGTCAGATGTCAAAATTATACCATTTTTTTTATTTAAATAAAGACAAAAGAAATCTTAAAAGAAAACTCAGGATAAAAAATGCATTATTCCATATAAGAAAAGGCGAAAGTAAACTTTTCCAAGACATATCTCTCATTGTTTTCGTAGGTTGGTCACATTAGTGGACTAGATCCAAATGTTTTATGTATCAGAAAATGGCGAGCTTTTGTTTTCAGCTTATTCAGAGAAGACGTGCAGTAGCCATTGTCTGTTCCAGACAGCAAGCTGATTTTAGTCTTTAGAATATACAAACATTAACACAGTGGTAACGTTCAAATATAGTAAACTATTTTCTTAATTTTAAATCTGTATCAACTACACACTTCAAGATATTACTACGCCTCAATCATTATATGTATCTATACAATTATATTAAAGCGTAAACACACACTTCTTTGTTGCCTAAGATGTCACCAATTACTGCATAGTTTTGAATAATTCTTTTTTTAATAAAAAGCCCTACACTTACGTCACGCTTTAGGCTATATATTTTCACGCCATTAAATTTAGAGGGCAAATATTTTGGATTAAATCCTAATGTGGGAAAGAGACCATAAGTTGTTGCCAACATCAATGAAGCAAGATTGTCAAGGTATGTCATGTCATTTTGACATTTGTCATGTAAACAATAAAATAAAATTTTCATAATTCTATGCGGATGAAGTCGCGTGGGAACAGCTAGTCTCTGATATAAAATAATCTAGTAATATTTACTAGAAACTGACACATAAAATAATTAAGGTGAAGACTTCGATCGATATGACAATTTAATATAATTCCTTCAAATAATTGCTGCTTTGGAATTATTGAATACGAGTCCTAAACATTTATGTGCACTGCTGTTTGTTATTAAAGAATAAATTAGACAACACGAAGACCACAATTGTACGATTCTTTTGTTTCAACGTAATTTAGCATTTTTTACTTTCTCCAATCTTCGAATGAAAATTTTGCTAGGCTTTTTAATACTGGTTGGTGGGAACGAAGAAGGTTATAACCTCAAGACCTCTTTTGTGATTTCCTTAACATACCTTCAGCCACGGCGGCTTTCTTGAGCGCGCCCATAGAGATGCTCTTGCGTGGAGTGTCCGAATCCTTGGGCCAGGCGAACTGGTTGCGGTACTCCGTGCACACAGCTACCTCCGGCTCCTTGGCCGCAAGCACCTCGCCCAGAGCTGTTGTAGCCTGGGAATGTAGATTAAGTTAACGAAATACTCTAAGTGAATAAACTTAACTGGAATGGTTGCTTGATATTAGTTGATGTAAGAGCGCACACCTGAAACTATACTATCTAAAAACTGTTTAGACTCGCCTTGATTCCTATCAGCTAATATGGAGGTGCGAACACAACTCGGTTTTTAGTTGTGCAACTAAACAGTTCAATCAGCAGCAAAACAATCGACAATCGCACAACAGCTATGCGATAGTTAAGTCAAAGATTAGAAAATAAATGGGAGGGGTCTTAAATGGTGACCTTAAGTTACCTTAGGCTCAACAGTGTCGGTCCAGCGTGGTTGCCGCGGTCCCTCAGACTTGCTGCGCCGCGCTGCTCTGTCCACGTCATCCCTCTGAACGCTCTATGGAAAATAAACAATATTTCAACATCAATATGTACAAATATTATAAAGAGAAAGATTTCTATTGTTGTATATTGAAATAACTCAAAAACTACTGGGCCGATTTAGTAGTAGAAAGGTAGTTTATCTGTGAGTAACACAGGCTATATTTTTTAAATTCACGCGGACAAAGTCGCGAGCAATCTTTACTAATATTATAATAAATTAATAAACTTGATCTAGGAACTTTAGAAGGCACAATATTTTCGTGAACATTTCTAGGTTATGCTTCTTTCTTTCATAAAAGTACTGTGTAAATATCTACATTGCGTAGTATTTTGTCTCACCCTAGCTCGTCCGTAGGCGGAATTGGGATGGGGTCGAATATCGTCGGCGGGCGCCGGGTCGAAGATCTCGTTCGTCTTGTACGCCACGCCGGGGTATTTCTTGCGACGTGGTATCGCCGGTTCCATCGGACCTAGAGCCAGAACATATCTCCTGGATTACCACGTACAAACTTGTTTGATGGTTTTCCATTCAATTGAATGTTTGAGTATTGAGTTTAGTATTATACAAGCTTATACAAACATGGAAACCGCAAAAGTCTTACATTATAGAGCTGCAGATAGTACATGAACTATCAAGAGTTAGCATGATATTGCTAACCAATTAGATTTAGCTCATCCCTTCACCGAATCTAGTGCCATTAAAGTTGGTTGGGATATTAAAGTTTTGGTCGACTTCAACTTCAACAACAGAACATTTTTACTAACAAAGAAGAAACATTTCAGACAATTTCTTATTATATCGTTGTAGGTAATCTAAGTGCTATTCACAAAGTTTGCCAGCGATTGAATCAGGTTACAAACTGCTCTTAACGTCTCAACCAGTTGCCTACAAATCGCAGGAAATCCTCGTTTACCGGCAAAACTAGGCCAATAGATGACTTATGTATTAAGTTTCAATATGTTAAAATGGTTTCTACTTTTTCTTTTCTTTCGATATTTGATGGAATTAATACGTTTACCATTCTGGTCCAATAGCGTCGACCACCGATTCAATCTCAGTAGACCACAAAATGGTCTACTTCTCCTCTCATTATCTTCCCCTAACCTTCCTGCTAGACGAATATAAAGACTTGTAATTAGCAAGACCGTTACCACAATCTTTGAATAAGATTTGCGATAAAGCAGGGAAAGAATCTTTTGAAGGAAGAATTTTTTAATAATATAAGGTGGCAAACGAGAAAGCGGTCACCCGATTACGCAGAAGTACTACCGCTGCCCAAAGACATCCGCAATTGAAGATGCGTTGCCTATCCTAAATCGATGGCGAAAGAGACACACATAGAAAGGATATTTCCCCGTCCTATGCGTCTCATTTATCGTCAAATCCACTTTCCCTTCTCATTCTTTCCTCTTATGAAATAGATGAGAAGGGAAAGGGACTAAAATTTGGCTTCCGACACCACGCTCATCAGACGAAACGCAGCCTTCTATCAGTAGACAGAATTTGTATCCAAAGTCCGGTCTACTAAGTCATCTGACTAGTCTACTCTAATCGCTACTTGTTACTTCTACTTAGCAAAGATCATACTCACCCCTGGTGATGGGCAGTGCGGAAGGTGGTGTGGGCGCGGGCTGCTTCACCACGCCCTGCTGCTGCTGCTCCTTGTACTCGTGCCATCTGTACGTGCTGCGGTACTCCGAGTGAAGCTGTGTACAAATATATGCTGTTAGAATTTTAATAATATTTTTAAAAAAGATTCGCCGATGCACACGTTATAACACACGCGTTTTCTATTTCTCTTTCTCCTCAACTCGTTGCAGTCTTAGCGTGATGTTAAAAAGCTTGTAACCTTATTTAACTATTAGACTATAGAATGTTCAAAGAATTTTACAAGTAAGAACGGTAGTTATTAGGATTATCGTATTTTTTAACATCTAAAATTATTTTTTTAGTAGATTATCTACTAGCTGTTCCCGTGCGATTTCATAGGCATAAAATTATTTCATTGTTTACATGTGTCAAATTGTCAATAGCAAATGTCAAAATGACATAACATGAAAAAACTTGGCAATCTTGCTTTCTTGATGTTGGCAGCAACTTATGGTCTCTTTCCCACATTCGTTCTTATCCAAAATATGTACCCCCTAATATGTTTAGTGGCGTAAAAATATATAGCCTAAAGGGTGACGCAAATGTCGGGCTTTTTAAAAAAAACGAATTATTCAAAAATTTGCTGTAATTGCTGCCATCTTAGTATACATAACGATACAATTTTTACAAATATTACGTATTAACCTTAGAAGTAAACTATAAGTTATAAGTTAAGTCCGATACCTTAGCTAAGTTATTATTTATCCCACTTGAGTGAAAATATTTCAAGACAAATTGATTTCCGATCTTTCCGCGGATATTGCTCGTTGAACGATGTAAGAGCGTTACGAGGTTAGTGATGTATAAGGTATCGATATTTTTACCGATAAACTCAGAGATAATTGTAAAAACTAAAATGTATTAGTACAGTGAAATAAATTCATGAAAGTGGAAACCGTTTTAGTATTAGATTTTTTAGTGTACAAATTTTAGTTAAACTTGTATAATTTGAAGAAAAAGTGAAATGAAAATAAAACGTTTGGTTAAAAATACTATGTATTTAGTTAATGCAAATCAAAAAACAACCTTTAAAATTAAACTAATTCAAATGATTATGAAAACCCCAAACAATGACTCACTGATTCATATATTTCGCACGCAGTATTACGTAAGCCTTACATTGTTTAGGTCAAGCATCTATTATGAACGTCCTATAAATCATGGTTAATCCTTAATAGCAGTAATAAATTTTAAAATATTGTAATGTTTGTAGATAAGATATTCGGCGCACGCGGACGGAATCATTGGCCCCTCGATTCATCGCACGGTAACTCGAACAATAGGGTGACTACACTTTAATGAAGAAATTTGTATGTTGAGAATAAATAATTAAAATAATACGATAAGTAAGAAAACTGTTATGCCGATTTTAAACAATCGTTAAAAGATCTATGGTATTTTGTGGATTAGGAAAAAACGAATCCAGTCATGGGAATCAGTCAAACTGATAAAAATATTCTAATCTTGAATTGTATAAATTTCGTAGTTTATGGTTATTCCGTCAGTCCTACTTGTACATAACTCATGGTCGCTCTAGCGTTAATGTATTCCAATTCAATGACTCGGGCAGCGGCACATTGCACTGATAACCCGGTTTGCGAAACGTTAACCAAAACTTACACAATAAAGCTATACATACACGATCAGAAAAAACATTTCCTTAATTTATAAAGAGTAATGGTTAAACTAAACGTTAGGATATTTAGTACAAGTACTTTTTGCAGAACACTTGGTTGGAATCCACAAAGCCCAAGAATGGGAGAATCTTATTTCGTTTGTACTTTAATATGGGCGATGCCAGCCGATGAACCTAGGACTAAGGAGGGAGGCAGTTATTGTATGGCGTTATTGGTAGTAGATTTTATAATACAAATATACCCCCTCCCTCGCTGCCCCATAACGTTCATGTGTTCCAGGAAAGTTTTGAATTCTCCACCTTTCCGTAATTACAACTAGGAGAAGATTCATTTGCAGATAAAAAGAATGGAATTCTTTTAGTGCTCGTAAATTTTATTGATTGAAGACGAGTTTCGGTAAACAAGCTGAGTTTACGTTCTTCTAATTTGAGCCACATTTACGGCTATTATCTATAAAAATACCTTTTTTAGGTATCATGAGGTGGCGGAGTAAGAGGCTACTTGAATTCGCCGAAATAGCAAAGTTACAATATTTATACTAAAAGACTAGGTGTTCCCGTGCGACTTCATCCTCAAGGAATTATAAAAAGTTTATTTTTTTGTTTACATTTCTCAAAATTTCAATTAAAAATTTCAAAATTACCGTTACCATATTAACCTAGTTTCCTTAATGTTGGCAGCTTGTAGTTTATGGTCCCTTTCCCATATTAAGGTTTTTAACAATTTATTTACCCCCTGAGTTTAATAGCGTGGAAATATGTAGTCTAAAGTGTGTTGTAAGTGTAGGGCTATTTATTAAAGAAAGAATTATTCAAAAACCTGCTGTGTTTGCTGACATCCTACGCCACGATAAGTGTGTGTTTACGCTTTATTATATTAGTATAGATTCACCTTTTAATCCCTAGCTAGTATAGTATAAACCCTGATAATTTGTTCTGCTAAATCTCTAAAACAACAGAATCTGTAGTAACAAAACTCGTTCTAAACAGATCAAAGTCATAAAACGCATGTTTTGAACCGAAACGCTAAGGATAGAAGTATAAAGTTTCTCTTGTAGCACCTAAAACTTTAACCACTAAAAGGTTTCACCGTAATCTAACAATTTCGCTTCACTTAACTGTATTACAAGGTACAGAAATGTAACTTGATACGAAAACTGTTCACCTATAATTTTAATTCTTAGGGCCTGTCCCACTGGCTGATAGAGGCTGAGATAGCATAAAAACAATGTCACTGTCATAAGGATGACCTGATGATCTGAGTTACCTTTAACAAAAACCGATATTTCCATCAATTACTTTACAATTTGGATTGTTATCAGACAATTTATAATTTGGTGGAACAGGCCCTTGATGTTATTAGTAATTTTTTTTCTCTCAATCCTTCTAATTAAAAAGATTAACTTAAATATATCTGTCAATACTTACAATGTGTTGAAATCATAGTATGTTGTAATTACCACGTGACAATTGAATAGAATAATAGTTAGCATATACCTCGATATCAATTACACATTACTTAGCGTTTATTGCGTGTAGGCGCCACAGAGGGGCATGGTGGGTGGAAAGGGAGACGGGACTTTCTTCTGGCGACCGTGTTCCCGGATCGATAGGCGCTACGTAAAGTAAGTGACCTCATACATACAACATTTATACTTATACCTATGAAAATTTGCTTACGGTGATACTAATATATTGAAAATAAAGATATCTCGTATAATTTAAAAAAATGTGAGAGAAACGAAAACGATTTCGTAATTTGGACAATTATACATGCTTTCGCCCGCAACTCCGTCGGTGTGGAATTTAAAAAACAAAAATGAGCAGCCTATGTGTTCTCCCAGACTATGTGCTACATCTATGCCAAACTTCATCCAGATCTCTCAGCCGTTTAGGCTACAAACTCTAACAAACATCCATCCATCCATCTAAACTTTCGCATTTATAATATTAGTTAGAAGTAATATTATAAATGCGAAACCTAACAGTGGTAGTGCCCGCTTTAACATCTTAGCACTGCAGGGCCGGCACGCCCGGTGTAATACCACGACCACACAGAAGACAGGCGTGAAATGGAACCAATGCCGTGTTTCGTGTGATGAGTGTGGTGCCGGAGGCCTAATTTAAGTCCCTTTCTCTTTACCACCCTTTTCTTATGAGAGGATGGGAAGGGGAAGTGGATTTGACGATGGAGGAGATGCATATTAAGAGGAAATATCCTCTTTATGTGCGTCTCATCCTCCGTCGGATAAGGGTAGGCGACGCATCTGCAATTGCAGATGTTTCTGGGCAGCGGTCACTTCGCCATTTTGGCGGATTCAGGTGGCCGCTTGCTCGTTTGCCATCTTATGTTATAAAAAAATGTAAGATTGTATCTTTCGTATCTTTAATGTAAAACGCGACGACATTTTCTAATGTTCCTAGCTCAAATAAATCGTTTGTAGAGGAAAGAACATAAACTTACGTCATAAAACTCTTGCCAGCTATTAAAACTCGATACAATAACTTATGTAACTGGCCTACTATTATTCTAAATCGAATAGAAAGTGACATATATCAATTACGACAAAACACACGAATGTAGTGACGAAATGTAAGACAAAAGCGAAAGTATATGGAAGAAAATCTACACCCGAGGTCGCGTAAATCTTAGCGTTATTTTTCTGTCACTCTAAAGTAAGACAATCTGTGAGATTGAAAGAACAAAGCCTTTTGTATACAACGCGGAGTTATTAATAATGGCAGAGGCTTTTTTGTTTGGAATATCATATTAATGTTTTGCGTCAATGTCGTTTTGTTGTTTAATTTTTAATTTTTAATTGGTTAAACTTTAAGTTATCTTAGTACAATAAAGATCATATTAAATAAATAGCCATCGTCTAAGCAATTAAGTAAAATTTATATAATGTATAGTAACTTGAAATAGAATAATAAGCTACTGTAAGTATATTAAAAGCAATTTATTATACAAGCTTAGTAAATCAGATTAAAAGAGGAATAAAATAAGAATTTTAACGAATACATTGCTTTAAAATTTTAATATTAAAATATGAAAATCAAAATCATCGAAGAAAACTGCTATTAAAGAATTTTATCGACAAAGTTCGTTCCCATCACTATTCGGCGAGGCGTCGCGCCGTCGCGGCGGGCAATTTCGCGGCCGCCCTCCGACCGCAATAACCTTTCATATATCCGAATCGTACGAACTCATCCGACAAGATCCGACTACGGCTTAATATTGAATCGATCCAAGTAACTTCTATTAGAGCGTGCGCACACCTTTGACTAAACTATCGCACAACTGGTAAGCGATTGTCAATTGTTTCACAGCCTTCAACTGTTTAGTTACACAACTAAAAATCGAGTACTATACCTGCATATAAGCTCATAGAAATCAAAGCGCGACAAAATAGTCGTGCG